TTGCCAGACGTGCTTTTGCATGAAATCTCTGGATTGCCAGAGAATGACAATCCATCAAGGACTTGCTCTTCAGCCAAAAGTTTTGAAATTCTCTGTGAAAGAGCTGCTAAATAACTAAAGACTGAAGATAAATAACAAGTGGTTCTGCCTCAGCCATCTTCATGGTTTTAAGACAAATTTCATAACCCTAAAGGAAATAATCGATGTACCAATTTGAACTGTCGTGTGCTTGTGCTTATGTAGCCAAAACCGGATCACTGATGCACAAAAGTACCAGAAGACTCAAGGTAATGCTGAGGTACACACAAGTACAGGGGTGAAAATGTACGGTGCAAGGGTGAAAATGAAAATGGGAACTCCAAAATAATTCCATGCATAACTCCAAGGCATGAATGTTGAGAGATTGAAGAGTGAGGGAATGACAACTGAGTGGGAAGGGGAAATAGAATAAAGAGGCTGGATATATGATCAATACACCCACACACCCTGGCAAACAGAGATAACAACTCATTCTCAGGCAACCGGAATGTCTTTTTAAAGCAGTCAGCAAGCCTTCTGCTATAGTATTCCATAGGCTCCAAATCAATGCAGAGTACTATTAATAACTGTACTTAAACCACAAATCAGCAATCCTGAATCACATCTTTGCAAATTGGTTATCACCTGTGTTTATCTGAGGGAGACAGTTACCTTCAAGCATATTATGACTGGAAGACCTTACTATATCAAACAAAACATCACTTGCAGGTCCTGCAATGTAATTTACATTGCTGAGTGGAAATGTCTATGATGACATGTTCAGTATGTGTGTAAAACAACAACTGATCTACACACATATTTTAGGAAGCACAAATCTACAGTCTTAATGAACAATCAGTTGCAAAGCAGTTCAATTCAGATGACCACCACTGAGCTGTCTCTGCAACAGAGACGCCACCTGATTCAAAACCACTGGAAGTAAGAGAAAACTTGTGGCGACCTAGACTTGATACTTTACTACCATATGGCCTAAACCCTGGGGATAAAACCAAAGATGCCCATGTCCATGTAAGATAGTAACCTGCCTGCTTCGGTTGCAAACACACAGATGTGCAAATCATTATGATTTACTTAATTTATAAATCATTTCCTTTGAAGCATCTCAAAGTGATGGCCCAATACATTAAAACATATAGAAAAGAATGCATACAGAAAAAACAATTACAAGAATAAAAGTTTAAAAATACATATATTTTTAAAAAGTTCAAATACAATACAGATACAGATTGGAGCAAAAATCTCCACTTATAAAGCTTATTGAAAGAGGAAAGTCTTCAACAGGCACATGCATATGTAAGCTATCAAGGGGCTCCAGTGGATGTAAGGGGAGTACTAAAACATGGAACCAGCACTAAGTATAGGTTAGGGATCTTTTAAAAGTACATTGAACGGTAAGTACTCTTGATTGTACTTGAATGACTACCTATTTTTATTTTAAAATTATCCCTTAAATTAGAATCTTCTTATTCCCTTCTCTTTAGGAAAGCCAGAGGCCACACTATTATTTTTATAGAGAAGGAAACCCATACATGCTCCAATGAAATAGTATTCATTTGGGCATTTCATTTAATTGTAAATGGTTTAATTAGAATATTCCATTACTTATCTTACTATTATTCATGCGGACTGATTCCCTATTATGCTGTTTATAAAAGCCTTATAAGCTACGTTTTGCACATAGTCACTATGTTGTGATTGGATGATATGCTTGTGACACATATTCCAAAAAGCTATTTTCCATATAAATCCTACAAAAGTTGGATTATCACCACTTACTTCCAAAGGGGTTGTCTGTTCAGCAGCAGAAGAAAAATTCTAGAGACGCTTGTGAAATACATTCACTGGTGTGGCAGTATGATGTTAATGACTGGATACTATGAACTGCTTAGAAAACAGAAATGCAGGACTGGTCCCAATGGTATTTCAGTGGTTCAGCAGAGTATTTTGATGTTGCTGTACCAGTATCAGACACCAGATGGGACCTCTGCCACATTAAATATCAATGAGTGAAAAGGCAGGGGGCAGAGGAGTAGTGGCACACAGGTGGGTGGAGCTGCCCTTCCAAAACTTGCCCCATTGCTGCTTAGCAGGACAGGGCTGAATGGTAGTAAAGTTGGGGCTGCGACGGTACACCAGTGAGAACACAAGATTGGTGGTGATCCTACTGATGCAGTCACATGACCATGATCTCGCCACTGCCCTGTTATTTATTATTATTATTATTATTATTTAAATTTATATACCGCTCTATACCCTCAGGTCTCAGGGCGGTTCAACCGTTCCAACCATGTTCAAGTAAACAGCTGTCACACCACTGTCAGGAGGTTGGCTATGCCTCACCACACACACACACACACACACACACACAGAGAGAGAGAGAGAGAGAGAGATAGATACTGGAGTGGGGAAACCACACTTATGGAAAAGCTCTTGAAACAACTGTGACAACTGTTTGGTGCAACTGTCACTGTGATAATTAGGGTACAACATCAAAACATGTCACGGTGCCATTAATATGCCATCCTATTTTCTCAACACCAGATTAAGGTTTATCTCCAGGTACAGTGTAAATGGCTCTGAAATCTTAGGACAGGCTGAAAAATGATTTTAGGAACAGAACGTGTTTGTCAGTACCAACTTTTCCCATGAGCAGCAGCAGAACTGCTGTGATGTGCACTTTTATTTCCCCATGTCTGTTGGATTTTTGTTTCAATTCTCTCGGATTGCTTATTTACTTATTTAATGAATTATTTGTTTTAGCTTGCTATTGTTATATATATATATATATATATATATATATATATATACATATTTGTATGAAAGCCACTCTAATAATACCTATTTAAGTATAATATCTTAATTAATTAAATTTTCTAGTCCTTGTGGCTGCAATAAGGAGTTTGGGTGGTGGAAGAGGAAATGCAGGAAAACCCTAGAACTGGAAACAAGACATTATAATCTGGTTGCGTTTCCAGTAAGGTATTTACATGCATTGCTCTCCTAAAGCCTTGTCCACATGAATGTTCTTGGCTGTCACACCCTGCTCCTCCACTCTGCTCTGTTCTGTGGCTTTGATGTGTCTCCAATGAAAATAAGGGAACTGCACAGGGCTGACCCAATCATGAGAGGTAATGAGACCACTTAGATGGCTATGGTTGGTGGGAGATGGCAAATTGGCACACGCCTTGGCCCTTCACTCACATCACTATCGGCCACCAATGCTGCCAGTGCCATCACCCACCGACTTGGTGAGGCAAGAAGTGCCCTTTCCACCTCTTCCTTGCTGCTTCACTCTGAGGAGGGACTTACCTGGCCCATCCTCAGAGCAAAGCAATAAAGAGGTGGTGGAGGGAGTCGTGGATAAACCATTGGTGCTACTGCTAATGTGGTGGTGGCCAAAAAAAAAAGTCAACAAGAAGGAATGGGTGGGCAGGGGAGAAGATGACAGTGGTGCCACAAGAACTGGAGAGAAGCAGAGCCACTAACCACCCCCAGCCACACAACTGCTTGCACTGTCCCCAGTGACAATCTGGGAAAGCAATGGACTTTCTATTCCGTGGCTCTGGAGCTGCAACCCAACAGAATTACACACACACTTAAGTTCACTGATTGCAAAAAGGATAGGCATCTTTTGATTGGATTGTGGACAATCAGTGTATATGAAAGAGGTGTGCTTCAACACCAGGCAACGATGTCCTGCCACCCTCTTTCTCTTTGTTAAGTGTTCATCCTTAGGAAGGGAAAGTACAGTGGTACCTCTGGTTATGAACTTAATTCATTCTGAAGGTCTGTTCTTAACCTGAAACCGTTCTTAACCTGAGGTACCACTTTAGCTAACGTGGCCTCCCCCTGCCACCGCGCGATTTCTGTTCCTATCCTGGGGTAAAGTTCTTAACCCGAGGTACTACTTCTGGGATAGCAAGGTCTGTAACCTTAAGTGTTTGTGACCCAAGGTGTTTGTAACTCCAAGAGCAAAACACTTGCCTCACCTGAACATATATTATTTAAATACACACATACACACTACTTTTTAATTAAAAAAAAGTGGGGGAAAGAATCCTCACAAAACAGCAAATAAGAACCTATATTGATCACACCCTTCAGTCCAAGCCTGATCCAATAAATATTGTTGTCTAAGGTAAAGGACAAAATGCTGCCTCCCACTCTCTTTCCCCATATAGAAGCCAACTGGAGTAGCAGTTTAATTTTAATTTAGCACTGGGGAGGGGACACTTTATCCTGCCTTGAAGGAAGGCAGTCTGACTTAAAGAAGGAACCCACCTGCAGCTTAGTGCTCCAAATGCCTGCCTGCTGCTCCTCATCCCTCAGCACCTCCTGCCGGAGAAGCCACTTTGCTCAGGCCAATGGTAGGGCCGACTCTGCCTATGTCCTCTTTGCTCCCCTCTACACTGGTAGGCAGACACAGATATTATTTCTTTTCAGTGGGAACTCACGAGAACTCAATTCCAGGACCTCTCAGGTGGGAGCCATTGCCATTCTAAGAAAACAGGTGTTCATGGTGAGTTCTGGCACCTCCTTTTCTAGGAAAAAAACCAGGCACTGATTGCAGACACCTTGCACTCATACGCCTTTTAGTGAGAAAAACTAATGCAAGCACCTACAACTCGTGATGCCGCTATACAATAAGCGGGTTTAGGGCTCTGGTCGCGCCGACCATTTCCCGCCGGCGCCAGCCACACGAGCCTCAAGCGCTGCTTCGAGTTGCTGCGCCAACATCCCTCGCGCGCGTCTACACGCGCCCCGCGCAACCGACACGTGCCAGCTGGAGCCGCACAGGGCTCCGCGTTCCTTTCCACGTGCGGCGTGCGCGCGCAACCTCTCCCTCCCACCCATATCTCCCGGCCCGGGAAGAGGTTTTCCGCCAGCACCTGACGCCGAACGGCGTCGTTGCGCATGCGTTGCTGCCCTCTCTCCCACCGACCGACCCGCCCACCTCTCCCAGGTTGCTTCGCGCGACTGGCATGGCGGCTCCCTAAGGCCGCTTAGTGCACATGGGTTAGACTCGCCACGCGTCAAAAAAAAAAAAAAAAAAAGGGAAAGGAAGCGGCTTCTCCTCCGTCTCGTCTGTAGAGCAGGAGCGCGTTGAGAAAATGCGGGCGTTGGAGCGTGTGTTGCTGAGGGGCTTCCCCAGCGCAGCGGAGTCGCCGCGGTGGAAGCAGAACGAGGCGGCTTCGGCTGAAGGTAAGGCTTCATCCTCTCGCTCATCCTCTCGCCCTGGCAGCCGGGTGGGAGCCCTGTCAAAGCGGCGCTTCACTGCCGGCAGGGCTCCCTTTCCTTCATCCTGCCTCCCCTTGCCCTCCTTGAGTGGGAAGTGGGAACAGCGGGCGGCGTGTCCGCGTGTGTCTCCCAAAGGGAGTAGTCGCTGGAGTTATTTCTTTGCGGGGCTGCTGCAACCCTGGCAGTCGTTGGAGGTGCGAAGGGTATAGTGCTGGGTGAGAGCGGGCTGAACCCAGGACATCAAGCTTAACCCATCTAAGAGGCAGTTGTCAGTGCTGCCTGCTTGTGTTCCGGGATGGATAGGAGACAAGGAGTCGTGGGGGCGTGGAGAGGCAGTGAGTCTGACACCCAACAATCAGTAGATAGCATTGTCACTTTTTCTCCTCTCCCCCGAAAAATAAAATGGAGGTTTCACGTATTTGAGCTTCCGTAGTGGGTACGAATGTCACTCGTTATGATATAGACTGCCCCTGGGATGCTGGGGCACTGCGTTGCTTTGCAAATGATTGATCTGCCAAGTTTTTGCTAACCTTTATTATAACTTCATTATAATGCCATGCTATTTCATGCTTACTGTCTGACCGTTACAGATAGGCTCCGTGAAGTCGCAAAAGCCTTTAGTGATCCTCCTCTCCGCACTGATGTTGCCACAGAGACTATTTCCAGTTCAGTATTTTCCTGATCACGGAATGCAATAGCCACATACACTATTAACAGTGCAATATTTTGTAAACCTCCTCATGAGATGCGCTTGCATGACAAGTTGCATTTAACTGGAGTTTTGAGCAGTGCTGTTTTTCTAGAAAAAGAGGGGCCAGAACCCACCATGAGCACCTCTCTCATTCTCTTTAGAATGGCAATGGCTGTAGCTTGAGAGGTGCCAGAAAGTTATTCCTTAACTTTGGTTATTAGAGGTCTGTAAAGGTGACAGTAGATATCAGGTTGGATTTCTAACATAGAGGCCCAGTTTGGGTTATCATTCAAGGTTTCAGAAACCTTGGTTTATGAGCCTGTGAATGGGCATTTGGCCCAAGCACTCTTTCCCTGCCTCTTCCCTTCTCCCATTTCACACTGGCTTCTGTGTGAAATCCAGTTCTGTAGCTACTGTCCTAAACTACAGTTCCCTGCTGCATCCAAGCTGGGGAACTCTGCATAGGAGCCAACTCCTAAGGGCCAAGGTCCCTTTGCTCCTCCCAAAATAAAATATTTGAGGGGGCCAGGGCCCCCCAAAGTTGATGAGCATTGCCATTCAAATGGTGTGAGTGCACAGTGTATTGTGATCAATTATGTGAGTAGGGCTTACCTACCCACTTCCAAATATTGTATTCAGGTTGGCATCATTGGGCCCAAGTACGCGAAGTAGTGCCTTCGAGCACAGTGCGCCCCCCCTTTGGGCTATGGCACTCCTTCTTAACTAAGATTCATTTGTCACCCATATATTTAGATGCCAACATAAAACATATTTATTTTTCCAGGATTTTGGTAGCTAGCTGCATGTTTTAACAGAGAGGGTTTTTTTGTCCACTACTTTGTGTCTTAAAGGTTGTTCCTGATTAGTCAATGTTTTAAATGACTGTTCTGTGATGCTGTGTGTGTGTGTGTTGTTAGCCACCCCGGGTCTTCAGGGAAGGACAGCATATAGTAACGATAGTTAGATACAATACACATTGCTGTCTGAAAGAGGGCCTTGTAGGACCATCAAGTCCAGAATCTAAAATTACCTAGCTGCACCACTGCTTGCAAAGAATGTGTGAGGGTTAAGAGCAAATGATTAGAAGCCTAATGTCTGGACAGCTGGTTCTTGTTTACAAATTTCAATCTCTTTAAAATCTTTGTTGTAAGCACACCATAAGAGTCCAGTATGAATGCTGTTTTAATTTAGTAAATGCCAATGGGTATTTTTCTAAAGCATCCCAACTTCTTTTCCTCTGATATGAGATGTCTTAGAATGCAACACTATAATTGTATAGGATTAAGTCTCTTTGAAGTAAGTTACGCTTGCCTCGAGTATACATTAAACAAGATAGGATTCCTAAGACTTTCGTTGTGTTTTATTTTAGAAAGTGGGTCCTTGTTGCAGTTGTTGTTGGAAGGGAATTATGAGGCCGTTTTACTAAGTAAAGCAGTTCAGGATATTTTCACAACACCTGAAGTAACAGAAGAGGATACCATTGCCAGCTATTTAGAAAAGCAGATTCAAAATTATCTGGACTGTTCTTCTGCAGATACGGATCCTATGGAAAGGTAAAAATAATTATTTGAAGAAGAAATTTATTTTTCATACTTAACGGTATAAAAATTAATAACAATCTCAAAATAAAACAGCTATTCTGAACACATCCTAGTGTACTATCTCAGAAATTATGGGTTGTTAAATCTTTTGAATATTTAGTATTCAGATTTTTCAGTTTCTCAGGCATAGCAGTGGGGCAGAACTGACCCCAAAACCTGTAAGAACAAAAAACATTGTTCCCCCCCCCCCCACTAAATTAATGGGGAGGGGTTAACACATCACAAGGCAATGTCCTGTTATTGTTGAGGCCTGCCTTGAACATGGAATTATGGAGTTAATTATAAAACAAAAGTTTTATTCTTTTCAGAGCTGTCATGGTTTAACCTCTCATGTTTCACCTTACCTGTTGACGGAGGGTTAAAAAGAAAAAGCAACATGAATTATGAAAATAATTTGTAGGATCAATGCAAATCTGCAAATCCTGCAGCATGTTTTCAGTAACCCTAGTAACTGTAGACATCTGTTGTAAGAAAACTGCAAGGATTTACTATGACTATGAGACTTACATATGAGGCACTTTGCACCATTTTCCTATGTGTGCCTCTTGAGCCTTTTGTGTTTGTATCGTGGTTTTTTAGCCATATATTGGGGCTGATTTGTTCTGATTTCCTAGTTCTTGTTGGGCAACCACCTGGGAGAACACATTGAAATATTCTGAATCAAAACTGAACAGCTCTATTTGTCCTCCGTGACAACAGTCTAACAAAGAAGTATGTGTGCACATAGTTGGGCTTATTAAAAAGTTCTACTGCAATCAGTTGTATTCATGAAAAACCAAGCTGCTTCTTAATTCAAATCTTAAGTATGCTTTCATCGTCGTTGCTGCTGTTTGCATTGCAATCGCTAAGAACTTTAAAGAACTTTAATTTTGAGATTTCAAAGTGGGTTGTTTTTTTAAGGCTTTCCTGGTATTTAAGGGAGACATAAACAAAGGCCGAGAACAGAAGCAGAAAAACAGAAATGAAGAGCTGTAAAGATAAATAAGAGACAGATGGAAGCATAATGAGTGAGATCCAATGTATTCTGAGTGGACATCCACTTGCACAACTGCTTCCTCTTCTCCCCACTCGCAGCTCCCCAAGCACTTCCAGAATCTGCACAGGAGGGTTGGGGACCCCACAGAGCAGATTTTAAAGCTGTGCATGCGGGAGAAGAGAAACTACAAGTTCTATTGCACAAGCAGATTTCCATTGTGGGCTGCCAAAGCTGGGTCTCACCCAGGAGGAGTCATGTGCAATAGCCCCATCTGAGGAATAAATATGCGCCTGGTTATTGGGATCAAACTCATTATTTTTACATCTTGGTCTTGATTGTTATAATTGGCAACTGTTGTGATGCACAGATTGCTTTTCCATGGCATATCTAAACTGACAACCTGTGCAGATGGGGCAGGACTGTGCTTCTCATTGATGGCATTCCTATTTTAAGAGGTTAGGTGCATAATAGGATTTGTTTGGTGCATTGGGTGAATGAACATAGCTGACTCTGTGCTGCCCTACATGTTTTAGAATGTGTACAGGCAAGTTCTGCCTTTTATGTTCCATTGCCTTATGCCATGCAACAACCTCTGATAAATCCAGAGATAATTTTATTTTCTCAATTTGAGGGAGATTTCCTGCCCTCCTTCTGGTTTGGGAGAAGGACAGAGGATTCCTCCATTACTTATGCTAAGTTTGGAAACCGTTTTTATCTGTCAGCAAAAAAAATTAATTGATAAGTCAGTTCAGTACTTGAAGCACATCAGGAAAATAAAATCTTACAGCCTTCCTTGAACAATTGAGTTGAATGTTCTTCAGATGGATATTTTTTCATGCAGATTTGTAACTGTTCCATTTTTTTGTGCATCTTCCATCTTTTAAGCTAAAGGCTTGTATAGAAGGAACAGGACAATTTCTACCTACTATTTGTCTATATATGTATGACCGTATCAATAAAAATGGAATTGTTTATTGTCTTGCAGGCAAAGTGTGGTGTTTCTACTTGGTGTGGGGAGCCTGCAGTTGTTTGTACAGAGCAACTGGACTGGGCCTCCTGTTGAATTGCAACCTCAGGACTTTTTGCAAACTGTATTACTAGAACAATACAACGAGGTACTGTTCTCTTCTCTCTCCACCACCCCACTCCCCAGGACAATAGTACAGTCACTGTCTTTTAGTGGAAAAATATTGATATGCACATCATGCTGATCTTATCTTGCTAGGTGTAAAAATAAAAATAGGGAGAATTGCTGCAGGTGATCTTTTATTTTCCTTTTCTGCTCCTCAGAAATGGTTCGGCATCGTCACAGAAATTAAAGATGTATAGAGATTGTGCTCAGCTTAGGTGTACATTAGAGAGAAACCTTAAACCTGCAGTGGAAGAATCCATTTTACTTTGATTTTAATGGGCAATTTGCATACAACATGCCATGTATAAGTTCAGGAATTATTGACAATGAGAGGTGAGAGGAAGGATTCATGGTTTCAAAGCACCGTTTGCAATGTGAACCTTCACCTGTGCTTGAATTTCTGTATTGTATAAAAACATTTTGAGGTGAATGGGCTAAGGTAAATTGGTGTGTGCGGCACGCAAATTTTGCTACCTCTTGAAGATTAATTTGAAGTTGCCTAAAGTGAGTTTCTTGTTTTCTCCTTCCAGCCCAGTGCATTGTCTACAGCTGTGCTGAGTCTGCTGGTTCTAGATGGTGAATCGATCTATAGCCTGACTTCCCATAGTGTCTTGCTGATGCTAGCTAGAGCAGTGCTTGTGAATTCAAAGCATAAGCTAGAAGCTATACAGGTAAGGGGGGGGGGGAACACGAGGAAATACTTATGCTTGTTTCCAGCTATCAGTGGGCTTATATTATTCATATTGTTCCTTGTACCATATGCGTTTCTTGAGTAACTGGGGGGAAACAGGACTAAGACTTGGAGGTTCAGAGCCACAGCGTAGTGAAAGGGTATGGCATGCAGAGTCAAATTACTGTATTTTTCGCTCTATAAGATGCACCAGACCACAAGACGCACCTAGTTTTTGGAGGAGGATAACAAGAAAAAAAATATTCTGAATCTCAGAAGCCAGAACAGCAAGAGGGATCGCTGCACAGTGAAAGCAGCAATCCCTCTTGCTGTTCTGGCTTCTGGGATAGCTGCACAGCCTGCATTCGCTCCATAAGACGCACACACATTTCCCCTTACTTTTTAGGAGGGAAAAAGTGAGTCTTATAGAGCAGAAAATACGGTAGTAAGAAGGTACTGAGTTGTAGCCTGGGAGCAAGTTGGGAGAAAGCAGAAAGGCAAGCAAATCCTCAGTTGTAGTAGCTTCTGTGGTAGCTGCAGGAACAAGGCTTCCTTGCTTGTTGTTCCTGAGGCAGCCACTCATATTTACTGTCTGGCTCTCTGACCCCACTTGGTGTGCTTTCTCAGAGTGACTCAAAACCTCATTAGTTTGCACCTGGCTTCTTCCCCCAAGTTCGGCTACACAGTGGTTGATGATGATTTACATGATGCTGTTCCTGGTGTCCAGTCACAGGCTCTGAACCCTTCATTTATTCATGTTATGTACTGAAGTTCTTACCCTGGGCCACCAGGGGGATACTGTAGATAGTTATGCAAATGAAGGATCGAAAGTGACGTTCAGTGATTGAATAGTTTTAGAAAGTTGCTACAGTAACGTTGTACTGGAGCTCTATATAAGCAGACTGACTGAGCCCTTCAGCTCAGTTCTGTTCTGGCCTCTGAATAAACAAGAGCTGTTTGAAGAATCACTGTGTCGTCTGATATGTTCACCCACAACCTAACAATTCATTTAAAAGTTTTTCTAAACTGCTTAATGTTTTTTTTTAAATTCTGTAATTTTTAATACAGTACTACTTTTTAAATATATACTAAAAAATGTATAATTTTGTACAACTTGTAAAAAGAAAATCAGTTAACAAAAATGCAGCCTAAAACTAATAAAGCAGTATAATGTCCCAGGGAGCTTTGGCATTTAGAGTAGGCCGTAGGTGTTTTGAGTAGGCCATTCTGCAGTACTTTTACCTTGTGAACCATCAACCTGGAGATGGTTGGATCTGTGCTCCTTAGTGCCTGAAGGAGGCTCTGTCTTATATTCCTGTGCTGGGCTAGTTCTGTGGGCTGTGACAGAGTACTGTGAAGCACTTGTGAGTTGTGGCAAAGTACTGTGAAGGATCCCTGATGCACAATATTAAAACCTATTTTTCCCCCTTCACTGGTAACACATTGCTGTTCCACTCATTGTGCATTTATGAACATTCATTTCTTGCCTTGGGCCTCTAAACAGTCACACCAAATAGTATAAAGGAAATAAATGCCTCCATGGAATAGGTGAAATGTTTTAAATGCAATTCTATTACTGTATTTCTTTCAACCAAGTCATAACAAAACTCTTTCCAGTCTGTGCTCAGAAAATACAGTAGCAAACCAATATCACCCTTATGGTAATTGCAATACATTATGTCTTCAGACAAAATCAGCCATTCAAATTTGAATATTCTTTGCCTTTTCAGTGTATTGTTTGATTCTGTTTATTTTAATGATAATTTTTACAGTACTCTATGCATTTTTTCTGTGTTGTACTTTAATGATATATATTCCTGCTCTAAGACCATTTGGTGAAGTGCAGATTATAAATTATAAGTGACAAATTTCTTCTGATTGGACAGCATGGAGCATATCTTTTCAGTCTGTAAATCCCAGCAGAGTGCAATAGAGTCCTGACTGAAAATAATCTCTAGGGGGGTTTACATGGTAGGAAGTATAAGATGGAGTTCATTATGTCCTCAACTGCAGTTTGGCAGCATATGCACAGTCATTGTTTGTTCTTACAATGGTATATCTGTTGTTTCAATTTCTTATGCACAACTTTAAAAATAAATAAATCACAGTCTCAAGTGGATCTTAATATTGTATTTTATATTAAGTGACAAAGGGCACTTTCTGAAAGCATGATCTCATGAACGCTTCCCACAGAGAAGGAAGTGGAAGCCCCTGGAAATATTTTTGCTACTTATTAGCAGTCAGGACTCCGACACAGAGGATCATGAAGACCAGCAGGGCAAACAGCAAAGGTGCTGAACCCAGGCCCTAGCACTAACATGGGCAGAGCCAGATACATACCCACACCCCACGAGATGGCATCAGCTGAGTCATATTCCACTGAGGAACTGATCCCTGTTACACCAGGGGGCTTGCATTTTCTGCCTGATCACCGACACAGGCATCACAGAAGGCAGGAGCTGAACTAGACATATTCAAGGAGATGACTATCAATGGCTGCTAGCCAAAATGGCTGCCTACATGGTTGGAGGCAGTAATGCTTGCGAATGCAAGTTGCTGGAGACCACAGGAGTGGAGAGTGCTGTTGTACTCGGGTCCTCCTTGCGAATTTCCCACAGGCATCTGGTTAGCTACTATGAGAGCAGGATGCTGGACTAGGTGGACCAGGAAGGCTCTTATTACATTCTTAAGTTCAGGATTCCCACCCCCCTTTTCCTAATAGCCACTTTCTTTTACTTGTCTTGCCCACCAAAGCCAGAGTAAATCTGCGGCCTTAATACAGACATGATGCTGAAACATGGTATAGTGTTATGAGGAAGAGCAGGAATGAGTTTGTACACTCCTCCGCAGATGAGAAGTGGAAGTTTAAACCTTCCATTTGTGGTTTCCTATTTTTCAAACTGTGGTTTGAATAATTCAGTCCAAGTGAATTGAACCACCAAACCTTGTTGTACATTGTGTGGTTTGAACAAACCAGAATGGCCAAATGGTCAGGGATGATGGGAGTTCTAGACCAATGACTCCTGGCACTACATTGCTTTCAGGCCTGTCCATAATAAACTGGTTTTGTGACCTTGTTGTTCTGGGTGTTGGGAGTTGTTTAAATATCAGTCACAGTCTTAAAAAAATTCCATATCAGACAGCAATATGTAGTGGTTTGTTTTTATTGTGTTCACATAGTGATGCGTGATAAATGAAAAGCCGAAATATTAGTGAACATCCAAAAGAGGCCAAAAGGTACTTTTAAAAAACAAGTTGTTTTTTTATCAGGGTTGTGTGTACAATTTTCCACAAGGCATGTTTTTTGTATTGCAAGCTTTGGCTAACAAAACACCGCTTTTTGAATCCCTGTGGAAAACTGTCTGTAGCATTAACTGCAGGGCGGCAAACAGCATTTACAGTCTAACATAAACTGCCTTGTAGGTTCCTGAACAAAGTGTCAAAATGTAAGAGCTGACCTCTCTAACAGTGTCTCCTGAATAAGTACCTTATTTTATTCAGCTTGATAGCATAAGTCATATTTCATTGTGTCCTGTGTGAGACAATACAATATCCATCCTGACAGGTGTTTCTAGAACAGTTTTAATAAACAGCATGTGATTGTTCCTTGAGATATTTTTGCCCTCAAATCATGCAGTCCTTATGATGCCTATTGCAGGCGTGTTATACCATAATTGTCTTGCACTAAGCAGAAGTGGCAAAATCAAGACTCGATGGCTAACTAAATTTCCCATTAGATGCTCTAAAAATGGTATTCTGTTACTCCATAAGAACCTCTGTTGTCTTATTTCAGTGACATTAACAGTTTTCTGAATATTCCAAGGTTTGCACATTTTCAGTCGTTCCTCTGGGCCTCCGTTTTCCTATACTAGCTATATTGTTGTTTCTTTCTCTAGAGTTTCCATTCTTGAACTAGATTCTCATAGGAAACTGCCTTAGATCGATTCAGATGATTAGTTTTTCTACGTCTGTGCTGACTGGCATTGGCTTCCTGAGGTTTCAGACAGGAGTCATTCATAGCCTTCCTTAGGACCTTTTGTATATCATCTACCACTGAATTGCACCCTTTCCTTCCCATCCCACTGTACAAGTTCCCTTTCTAGGAATATGAACCCTGTGATCTTTGTAGAATATATTTTTCCAGGTCAGATGGTCTCACTGTTACGATGAATTGGCCATGTGATAAGGTACAATTGACAAGTGAATGTGCTCATAATAAAATAGAAACATGGGGATTTGAAACCAAGTGGATTTAATGTTTACAATATTTTTCGTTGCCGTTTTTAGACATTGCCTTGGTGGACTCTACGGTGTGTAAATATCCATCAGCAGTTGTTAGAAGAAAGATCACCTGAACTCTTTGATATTGCCCAGGCCTGTATACAACAAGGTATACTCAAAATTGACATTGGATATTAGTGGAAGAATCACACGTTGCATTCTATTTGGATGACCATTCTTTTCTTATATTTGGGATTATTTGTGTGTTTGTTTGATTGCTTAGTCCAGGATGCCAATCATAAAAAGTTTCATGTGAACTATTTTTTAGGACTTCTCTCATAACCTGAGAGAACTATGAAAACAAATGAATTTCAATGGACCCTGCTATTGATTTGTAAGACATTTGCTCACTGGCTGTATTTTGATGTCACACTATACTTTAGGATTATATTAAACACTGCATGTGGAAAGATCTGCCAAGGGGAATTCCCCTTCTTCTTCTTCTTCCCTCCCCATGCATAATCTCCTCTGGAGGAGCTCAACCGGAAAATATGAAAATGGCATTAACAAAAAGTCTGGTTGAGCTTTACTAGGATCTGTGCACCTTCTGTATTCAATTAAATTTGCATTTGAAATGGTGTGATTTTAATGGATGCAATTAATGCCCTAAACATCAGTGTATAACTAATTGGAAAGTTGCTTTCAGTGAGCAATATAAAGCAATGTTCGCCTTCATCCTGAAGCAGCCTGACAAGGAAGGCTATTATTAACATAGTAATTGTAGGAATAGAAAGAAGATTCTTTAAAGAAAAGATTAATTACATGTCCATCCAATGGCATTTAACCTCACTGCAGGCAGCGCTGCACACTGGTTACCACACAGTTTTTATGGATATTGGTCCATTTCGATTTGAAAGTAAGTCACACTTTGTTCGTTGGGATCCAAGTAAGTATATGCAGGATTGACGAAATAAAAACAAAATGATCTCTAGCAACCTTAACTCTTTTCAAAAAGGGGGGAGGGATAGTGTTATTGATTAATTAGAATAAAATCCCATTGAACACAAGAACCCTGCTTGATGAGACCAAAGACTCGTATATTTTCAGCATACTATTTCCCACAGTAACCACCTGGAACAGAGGCATATCTAGGCTCTCTTGCATCCTAGGCAAGGAGCTATATTGGTGCCTCCACCCATCCTTTGCACCCTTGGCAAGGAGATGTTGGCTGACCAGAGCAGTAAAGGATGTTGGCCGCCCTGGGAGCAGGTGGGCAGGCTCCTAGCCATTCCAAGTCAAGAGTAGAGATGCTGTAATGATTGTAATGATGTAGATGATTCTGTCATAACAAGCCAGTAAGTGCTGCAGTCTTTGTGACCTCGTTGTGTGGTTGGGTATATTTTATCCTTCTGTTCTTCCTGGACGGATGTTTTGTAACCCTTGAAAGCTTAAAATACAGTGGTACCTCAGGTTACATATGCTTCAGGTTACATATGCTTCAGGTTACAGACTCCGCTAACCCAGAAATAGTACCTTGGGTTAAGAACTTTGCTTCAGGATGAGAACAGAAATTGTGCTCCAGTGGCACGGCGGCAGCGGGAGGCCCCATTAGCTAAAGTGGTGCTTCAGGTTAAGAACAGTTTCAGGTTAAGAACAGACCTTCGGAACGAATTAAGTTCTTAACCCGAGGTACCACTGTACTTTTCAAATACAGGCTCAAATTCCCCATAAATGTGCTGAGTTACCTATTCTTCTGTAAAAGGTTGTCTTTAAATAGCAGCCAGCTTACAGCAATATTAGGAATTAATTGAAAAGATCTGTACAATCTTGTAATTTGACAGGTACTTATTCAATCAGCTGTAAATGATTTCTAGAAATGTTCTTAGCTTTGTAAGTTTCTTTATCATTTGTGTAGGAAGCAAGATAAAACTTGACTGGAGCAAATTATGGGGGCATGCAGGGAGATGCAATGGGAGGAGAGCATGGGAAAGTCCCATTGTAAGAGTGCAGGTCTGTTCTGCTGGCAGATAGATAAACTTGGGTGTTTTCTCTTTCTGTTTAATGTACCCGTCTCAGCTTTGTGGATAACAGCAAAGTATTATGATCTCAGTTGCTGATATCAGTGGGGCAGATAAAGATACGGCTTCATGTTTTTCGGCTTTAACAACAACCTCTGTTTGAAATAGGATGTGGTTAGTGATGACTGTGAAGATTAATTGGAAGATAAAACAAATTAGCTTTATATGACAACATATTCTGGTTTGATACCAAGATTTTTCATACTTGAAAGCAGTATGTTGAAATAAATTATACTTGGCAGGTACGCTAAGCATCTTTTTATAAAAAATTACATCATTCGGCTATTACTAATATCTTGTAACTTTTTAAAAAAAATAATGTACCATGGAGCTCAGCCAGTTTCTTAAATAGAAAATCTTTACTAAAGCTATCATTCAATTCATAAGTGCAGAGCAGTAATTTTTTACACACACACACACACACACACACCAGTCCAGCTTCTTGATGCCAAATCTATAAATATTCAGTTCCCTTTGTGTTTGAAAAGGGTATAAAGGCAAAGCGTTATTGCATACTTACTATTCTGTTACTGTGGTAGGATTATATTACTGCTCTGTCTGGTCTACAACCTTGACCAGCTTCTAAGAATGTAAACCTTTATAAAGTGCTTTCATTATGGGAAAATGGGGCTGTTTGGGATGTATATATGCATGAGATCGATCCATTCTTGTAAATAGTTTGGCAGCTTATTTAATAAACTGCACTAGAAAATAATCCAGTATTTTCAGAAATTCATATTTGGATGAAATGCTTGGTACCATTTAAGGACTATAACCTTGCATGTGGTCCCTGACTTCTAATAATCCTAGAGTTGTTTTTCAAGGCTGGCACTGTTTTCCCCATTGCAGGCATGATTCCCAGTCATTTTGATCATGGTTGAGATGGGAATGGCCCATGAACTCAAGTTTACCTTTGCCCTCCCTTTCTTTCTTGCATATCCTCCACCCCTTCTTCTCTAAATTTGATTACAGTGGAGTACTACTACTGCTGCTACTTATTATATTGCTATCCAAAGTGTGTGAAAACCTAGAGGACAAAGGAGCCACTTTAAATTTTAAAAAAACTGATGTTGGTGTTGTCTTGTATTGAGTGGTAATACACAACGTGTTTTTCCTCTGCTTCTCATTCTTTGTTTCCTTCTCAGTCCCATTTCCTAGTTGCCTCAGCACCCTTTTTTTTTGTTTTGCAGTATCTGAAATTGAAACGTTATTTACTGATGACGAGTGCTGGCATCTTGCTGTTCAGTTCCACCTGGAGTGCGCTTACACGTTCTTGCATTACTATGAGTATAAAAAAGCCAAAGAACACTTTCTTGCAGCCAAAGACATAACCAAGCTACAGATTAATTTAACAGGTATGTTTCTTTTCCCACTTCTTGAACATTAATATTTAAAACTAACTAGGTTTTGTGTTACTTGAAAGTTGGAAAAGGAAGATAATGGAGAAGGTGTTCAAGAGTGCTAACCTGTTTCTGTGGTGCTTTATTTGGCAATTACCTTCGATGAAATCATAGAACCATAGAATAAAATTATAGAATTGTAGAGTTGCAAGAGACTCCGAGGATCATCTAATCCGACCTCCCTGCAATGCAGGAATCTCAACTAAAATTTTTGGTTTCGTTCTACAAGTATAATTTCTAACATAAGAAGTATGTTTAGGGAAGCTTTTAATGTTTGATGCATTCCGTATTTTAATATTTTGTTGGAAGCCGCCCAGAGTGGCTGGGGAAGCCCAGCCAGATGGGTGGGGGTATAAATAATAAATTGTTGTTGTTGTTGTTGTTGTTGTTGTTGTTGTTATACCTCCTGGATCAGGCCAGTGGCCCATCTAGTCTAACACATTGGCCTATTCTCACAGTGGCTAACCAGATCTTTGTGGGAAACCTACAAGGAATATGCAGGATCAGGGCTCAAGAACACTCCCTCTTCCTGTGATTTCCAGCAACTGGAATTCAGCTGCATATTGCCTCTTAACAGCTGAGGTGGCCACTGTGGCTAGTAGCCACTGGTAGCCATATCCTCCATGAATTTGCCTAATCTTTTAAAACCTTCCAAGTTGGTGGTCATCACTGCCTCCCGTGGAAGCAAGTTTCATAGTCCAAATGTGTCCTGTGTGGGGAAAAAGTATGTCCTTTCATCTACCCTGAACCTTCTAACCTTCATTCAGCTTCACTGATATCCCCAAGTTCTAGTGTTGTGAATGAGAGAGAGAAACTTTTTGTCCACTTTCTCGTGCCATGTGTGATTTTACAAACTTCCATCATATGACCTCTTCTTCACCTTTTCTCTCAAGTAACAGTCCCAAATGCTTCAACCTTACCTCATGGAGGAGTAGCTCCAACCCCTTAATCGTTTTGATTGCCCTTTTCTGAACTTTGTGCTTCTTTTAGTTTTCTGCGTAGGATGCCTGTTCATTATATTGCATATGTTTCCTTGAATACTGGTTGCTGGCACAGAGGGAAGTGGGAAATGGACAGAAATCCCCTCTTCAGTTCAGAAATGTGGTCAGTCTTTAGGAACTTGGTGCATGAACTATCTCACCATTCAATGCCTCTAAAAATAAACCCCTGTCTCAGTTGGTAGAGCATCAGGCTCTTAATCTGAGGGTCGTGGATTTGAGACCCACATTGGGCAAAAGATTCCTGCATTGCAGGGGGTTGGACTAGATGACCTGCGGGGTCCCTTCCAATTCTACAATTCTAGGATTCTTCCATGATAATTGACTAGTTGGTGGTTCTCTGTCTTTTTCAGCTAATTGTTTTGGTGCTGGCTCTGCTCTGCCTTATTTCTCTCCCCACTGCCTTCTCTTGTTTTATCTTTTAACTGGCATGTTCTGTAAAAAGCTGTATGATCTGGATGAATTGCCAATATTGTGGGATGGGTTTACAACTTGCAGCTGGTAAGCTTTGGGTGAAGAAGGAATACTGGAGTGGGAGCATTTAGAGTAAGTATTAGCACATCAAAATACAGCTGTGGTTCGTATAAACATGACTCAGTTGGGAGTCTGCTTGCTTTGATCTCTGCCTTGCTCTTTCCAATTTTAATGTCACTGAGCCTAAGTAAGTCTCGAAGTGTGAGGATGTTATGTACAATCCTTGAAGAGAACAGAGATCTTCGTTTGCAAGTGACAGGCCCACAGTTTAATAATGGTGAATGAAATTACTCGTTTATCAGTCTCAAGGTACAACAATACAATAAAAAAAATAATGGGGCTTTTTGCAACAAGAAAGTGTTGACTTCTCATTCCTTTAGGAGTGTCAGCTTGACCAAGAGGCAACACTGAGTTACTGGTTTTACCTGTTAATAATGTACAACGCTAATAGTGATCTGCTGACCTGACACATCTTGTTGAGGAAGCACCTATCACACACAGCATCAGGAGCACCAGCATTATATACCATTGGGGAGAAGAGTCATAGCACATATTTTTCCATTTAGGTTCAATTTCCAGCTCCTTCTATTAAGAAAATTTCAGAGGTAGGGCTGGGAAAGGACTCTGTGTGCAAGACTTTGCAGAACCATGTCAGTAAGGATAAACTGAACTGGCCTAGATGGACCAATTGCCTGACTTTGCTTAAGAGAGCTGTCACCTCTTTATATTCTCAGAAATGCATCAGAGAGCACCTACCAAGTATTTTATGACAGGCGTTGCTGTGATTCTAGGGGCATAAAATTCTCAAGATTAATTACAATAAATACTTAAATCAGAATTGGGATATAGTTGGTTCATGAGCCATTCTTCTGTCCTGTTTGTTGCGCCTAATCTTTGCTCTTATTTGGGCTAGTTCTGCCTATCTGCACACAACTCATGAATTTATTTGCATCTATGGATAAACTTGTAAGTATTCATGATTGTCTTACGGAGCTAGAGTCCAGGTTCTGTTTAACTGCATGCTCAGGTTAGCATAGGTTTTATGCTGCAAGATAATGCCTTAGAAGTAAATGCCTATTTTTCAGTTGAATTTAAAATAATCAAGGTTTCAAACTATACTTGGCCTTTATCCATGCCTTAATGAGCAGTCCAAGTGGAACTCGTAACAGGGTGAAAAAATCAACAAATAATCAACTCTGATTGATTTAAACTTGCCGAGTTTTCAACTACAAGGACATTTGTCTTAATATAATTGTCCTCACGGAAGTTTCCTGTGAATTCGTGCCAGAAAAGAGTGGAAGAAGAATTGTACAGTTTAATTTTAAAGAGCATGTAGCACCTGCTGTTCTTTAAATTATTTAGTGTGTTGATGTCAATTGGCAAGTTACGCACAACTTCCCAAGGGTGCCATAAGCTAAGTTAACACGGTACAGCTCTTGCACAGTCCAAAGCTGATTTATTCTGTGTCAGCTTAGAGCCTAATAAACGTACACTGAAAACCAACATTTGTTATATTTTTGGGTACTTCTAAAGTTTGGAACTAGTTCAGGTTGGTCAAGAGCCATTGAAAGTTGGTGCCAAACTGGATGTGGCACCAAATGCATCTTGGCATTTGAGGTATACATTTTTCTGTAATGTAAATAAGTGACTGGTGGTGTTAATGGGGAATTTTCTCCCAATGAAAGAGCAGCTTCAGAGGGACCATTGCAGGGGAGGGGAGGGTTAAATTGCCATTCCACACTTGATCTCAATAATTAAGTCTCCCAGATCATATTTACATTAACATGCATGTTTTTTCAAATGCAAATATGCTTTTTATGTCTCCTCTAGTTTGGCCTTCCGTTGGATAATCATGAGTAACATGTCAGTAGTACTGCTCCTTTATGCACCGTGAAGGCAACATTGGGTGTTCTTGACTAGAAAGAAGCCTGCTTAACTCCTGTTAACACATTTTTGAGGACATTTCACATTGTTATTGTGGTCCAAAAATATATCATGACAGTCTGCCCTTAAATGCAATACACTCTGTTTAAATCAGTAGCATAGGAGGAAGCTGAGTAAAGATCCAAAACGTGCATTTATTTATGGTCAGAGTGAAGGAATAGGTTATTTGGGTGTCAGTACCGAGATTAGTGAGGTTAAGTGGGACTTGCCAATGTCAAAGAGAAGATCTGTTGCTGTGGCCTCAGTGTGAGCTAATGAAGGTCTCTTGTAAGTGCTTTAGTGTTGAGGGTGAAGGGGAAAGGCTGTATTTTATCACAGTGGTGTCATGTCAGTAAAAAGCAAAACTAAGTCCAGGCAAGTCTGAATGGATTTCTTTCAGCTGAGTTTGGACCCATCTGTAGGGAGAGTGGTGGCATCCAAATTCATAACAATAGATGTTAATGCAATATGTTAAGAGCTGATAGATTTTCTTTTGACCCGGCTTACATGCTGATTTACTAGAGAGGTAAACAGTTGCTTTTGAGGCTTTGTGGTCTGACTTGCTGTAACTTGAATGAACACAAATTTAGTGTTTTTCAAAAGCATATTTTTCTGCCAATGGAAAGGAGAAAAGTATTTTCTGTTTCCATTCTGTTTGGGTTTTAAATGAGCATTGTCAGACTGAATATTTTATGAGTTAGCTATAAATCTGTACTCAACAGGGCTCAAGCTGGAGTAGCGATGATCCATAATTTAGTGGTGCCACCGTGCTATAATTAGAGAAGCTTGCCTTATAATGTGGCCAAAACTATAGCATCTCTTTGAAACTGCATGATAAAAATAGCCCCCCCAAGTGCTTTGCTTAGTTTCTCGAGTATGATTAATATGATAAATGACTTATTAATATTGTACTTAGCTATGTTTGTGAAATTGTAATTCCACTTGGGATACATTTTGGAGGAATAATTATTCCTAATTGTTTTATTATATAATTCTAATTACTATATGAGTTACAGTTCCACATACATAATTCTGTATTTTATTTGAAATCTGAACTGTCAAGGCTCTGATTCTATCTGGCCACTATCAGAATCTCTGGAAACTGTTGCTGCAGTCAATATATTATCCAAGGCTGCCGCTTATAAGTCCCTAAGGCAGTATAATTGAGGAGAGCACATTCCAGTTGCCTGACAATCTCTCCCAGTGGTTTCATGTAGTGCTAAATGGGGTAGAAGATAAAATGAAACCAGATTGGACCCCATAAGACAGGGATGGAACCTATGGCCTTGCATGATGTTGTGGGACTCCAAATCCTATCAACCCCAGCCAGCATGGCCAATGGACAGGATCAATGGGAACTATAGACCAACAATACCTGGAAGGCCACAGGTTTCCTCAGTACTGCTTCCTGGAACCTGCCTCTAGGAAGTCTGTAACTACCACAGATTAGTTCCCTCCTCTTTCCCCAGATATCATGAAGGATCATGTTAAACGAGAGACACCCTCAGTGTAGCAGTGTGTCCTTCTAACAGTAATCACCTTTAATTGTGAAATATACTTATCAAGTGTTTTCAGTTATTTATTTAGCTAATTAACAGTACAGCTTGTATTGGAAAAAGTCACTGTTTATTAATACATATTTGTGCTTTGTTGTAAATTTTATTTATCTACTATGACATTTATACCCGTCCTTTGCTCTGTAGGGAACTCAGGATGGCATACATGCTGTTTCTAGTCCATTTCCCTTCCAGGCACTGACTAGACTTACACCTGCATAATCTGTCGGCAAAGATGTCACATCTTGTGCCTTGAGAACATAACCTCATACTCTGTGAAATATGTATATGTGTCTCTTAAATTGTAACTTTGGTATATGTAACTAGAATTTCTGTTTCCTCTTGATGCCTAACTTTCTGCAGGTGCCCTGGGGAAAAGGACAAGATTTCAGGAAAACTATGTAGCACAGCTCATATTAGATGTTCAACGGGAAGATGACATTCTCCTTCCTCACCGTGAGCTTAGTCCAGCACCTTCCCCACTTGAAGATTTAACAAAGGTATAGGAATTTTTCTTATGTAATGTGCTGTTCAACGTAAGTAGATTGCCACGCTTGCCTGTGTATGTCTTATAAAAAAAGGATAAAGGGGATTTTGAAGGCCAATAGAAATTAAGACTGCATAATGTGTATGAAAGGTACAGATATAGTAATAGTAGTATTTCTTTTATAATATATAAATCTTACCTCATTGTGTGCTGTAAAATGGTAACGGCAGATTTTATATATACAGTATTATAATGGTATGGGGTTGCTCGTGCGTAAGTTGCCGCCTCTCCTGGCTATGTTGCCTTGTTAAACCTTTCTGTCTGGACAGCCCTTCAATTCGTGGCTGCCTCAGTCGCTAGCAGAATCCGTCAGTGGGCGTTTCTTAAACCTTTTCCAACATAAAAGTTGTTTGACACCCAGTCTCCTCCTACTTTCTCTGCGCGGAAGTCTTCTGCACAGGGAGGGCGTGGGTAACGGAGGACCAGTGCTCTCCCCGCTGGTGTCCAGTGAAGAGTCTGGGAGCCCTCTCTCCGATTCCCCCATCTGCCCCTCCTTATTCCTGGTGTTGCACTGAATTGCTTCCCCATCTGCTGAGCTGCCTCTCTCCCTGCTGGGCCCTTCTCCAGCATCATTAGAGAGCCTCCCCTCCACCTCTAGCTCCGATGTCAGTTCCCTGACAAGTATGTATGTATGTATGTACTTACTGTGGTGGATAAATCCACAAAGCTTTGACCATTTTAGCAAGAACTTTCCTGGAGCCTAATGATACACACACACAAAATTCTTTCATACTGCTGTGTGGTTTCAAATATATATTTGGTGCAACATCCTTAGAAAATGCTGCCGACTTAAATCAGAGAGGAGCAAGGGAGAGTGCCAACATGCATGTGTGCTCACTTGTTTGTTTGCAGAGGCAGTTTCCTGTTCAAGAGCGTTGTGTTTGGGCTGGTGCTCTACTGATAAGCATTGCCTTTATGGTTGTTTGCCTTTCACTAGCAGTGACTCAAACTAGATTCAGACTACTGTGGGAAGATGTGGAAACAGTATCCTGTGTTACCATGGATTTGCTGTTCAAAGCAGCAGTTTTCAATGAACAGCCTTTGCTATTCTAGGGCAGTATTCAATGAAATAGTTGCATGCATGTAAGCAGGGGGTGTTCTGGGGCGGGGGCGGGGTGTCTGCCCCGGGTGCCATTCCAAAGGGGGGGTGACAAAATGCTGACCCCCAATCGACGTCACCTCCTCGGGCGCTTGCTGTGCACCCCCTCGATGCATGCCACGCCCCCCACAGACGGCGCACCACGCCTCCTGGGATGCACACAGCTCCAGTTGCCGGAGCGGGTTGCTCCGTCTCTGCATGCAAGCATTGCTACTAGTGCAGTGATATTCTCATGCTGTTGCACCATCCTCAAACCTGCTTTGGAGGGTTTTGGGGAAACCCAGAACAAATTTAGGGGTGCATGCAGGGAGGAGAGGGAGAGAACATTTCATTGCACAGGAATAAATCATTGTGCTGGCGGAACGTTTGTCTTAGCGCTATCTCCAATAACGTCTGTGTAGGCCATGCAGAGTACAGGGAAAGTTCACAGCAGCCTGTATTGCACCCTGGAGCAGCGTGCTGAGGTAGACATGCAGCTCTTCTCTATGGCCCATGTGTTCCTCCACATTTGCACATGGCTTAGCATTAAGTCTGAACAAGGGATACTGGTTTGTTTTGCTCTAGATGTGATCTGTCTCTTAAGGTTTGTTCATAGTTTTCTGATTAGATGATAAACTGGGGGTTGTTGTTTCCTTCACATGCTTGCAAGGAGGAGCAAAGCAGCCCAGATTGCCACATTCACAGCAAGCCATTAACTAGGGTCCAGTGTGACATGTTTAAAAAATGCCACTTGGTGTACATGTACATTTAAAAGCAAAGTCATTAGATATCAATAATAATAATCAGTCTAGCACAGTGGTTTTCTAACTTTATATTTTCATGGATAATTTTCTACATCAGCTTTACTGAAAAACCCTTTAGCAACCATTGCAGAACCTGTGTGTGTTAATTCTGTTTCCATTCATGGTTCTACAGCTCCGTCAGTTGTCCTGCATTATTAAAAAAAATCATCTTCAATACAGTTGTTTTTCTACTAGGAAAGAGGATACTTTTCTTTTTACTGATAAGTCAATATGAGAATTTATATTTTTGGCAGAGTTCAACACCAATGCTGCTGTTAAGGGTTTTTTTATTGTAACTTTCAAATAGCTGAGCAATTTTAATGTGAATGATCACTTGTGTGATTTTTTCCCTCCCAACAGAATTATGATTTAAATGATGACACAGTGTTAAATGAAATAAAGTTTGCAGAATCTCATCAGAACCAGATGCCTGACTTATGTGCAGAAGAGCTTGCTGTTATCCTTGGAATTTGGTAAGATGTTATCTGTTGGTTCCACTTCGTCACTCTCTCAAGTGTATGGCTGCAGCAAAATGATTATTCCATAAAAACTTGTTGGTGAAGTACTTTTGGGGATGAGGTTAGATCCACACATGCACTCCCCTGTAGGGCCGGTTGAAGGTTCCTTCTATTTGTACCTTCTTCACACAAAGCAGGAGACTTAAGGGCCAGGTTAAACTCAGTTGTGGAGCTATTGGAAGTCAATGCAATGAGTCCCATAGTGCAATGGAACTTCTTCCCCAAACCTGCTTGGGAGAAGAGAAGGAAGATTATACCATCCAGAAAACAGAAATGTTTGTGCTGATGAAATGTTCTGCTTAGAGTGACATTGAATTTCATGTGATTTGACTGCTCTTTCGCTTTAACAACTTGGTGTATTATAAAATATATCTGATCTGATAATCTGAAAGTTTTGTAAGTGATATTTATAGCTGTTTTGAAAATGAATTTCAGAATGTTTATATTTAACAGACAGTAAAATTTGACTGATTGGCAGGTGTTGGATTAATTTCATTAATCCCTCTTTGGAGGTTATTCTCTGGGCATCTCTCCTTTTTCTTCAGCTTGGACATCTTAATTATATGTTAAATCCAGCTGAAAATGTTGTTGACTATTGTGTATTGTATTTTTAATATTGTATTGTAATTGTCGGACAACTTAATGTATTTAATTGATTAGCAATAATTTTATGTTAGCTGATTTGTACCCAAAATCTTCATCCAAAGTTGCCTGATGTAATTAACAATATAAAATGCAAAAACCAGTAAGGCTCAGAATGTGATTTTTTTCCCCTTCTATGCAGCATAGATTTTCAGAAGAACAACCCGGTTCATAAGCTCACAGAAGAGGAGCTGCTTGCTTTTTCATCAGTAAGAAAATTACCTATCTCCACTTGCATTGTGTTTAAACATTGTTTAATGGCTTCTCCCTCTGCACATAGTAGAAGGAGCAGCCAGATTGGGCCTGGTGGTCCTGCCTCCGTCAGTCTCCTCTTGTTCATGGGATGGTCTGAAAAAATGCCTTCTGTGCCCATATTGTTGAACACACAGAGGCCCTTGGGCACAGCTGGAAATCCTGGGTGATTAAGTTTCACAGTTGTGTGGAGGGATCTGCATAAATTATGCAAAAGTGTTTCTTAAATCACTTTTCATTTACATCGCAAACTGTTCATGGCTCTCTACCAGGTGTTGGGAACCTCAGTCCTATGTGTGAAATTGTGGCCCTCCAAGCAAGCGCCTCCGTCTGGCTCTTTGAACTCTTCCCCAGGCAGCCCCCTTCCCTGACCCTGCTTCACACCTCAGTGTTTTTGCCTGGCTGGAATGTGCCCCTGAGCACTGACATTGCCTCTTGCTTGTCTGGATGGAGGAGGACATCATCATCATCATCATCATTTATTACTGATACCCTGCCCATCTGGCCTGGCCTCCCCAGCCACTCTGGGCGGCTTCCAACAGAATATTAAAAACACACAAAAAAACCCCCAAACATTAAAAACTTCCCTAAACAGGGCTGCCTTTAGGTGTTCTCTAAAAGTCAGATAGTTGTTTATTTCCTTGACATCTGATGGGAGGGTGTTCCACAGGGCGGGCGCCACTACCGAGAAGACCCTCTGCCTGGTTCCCTGTAACCTCACTTCTCGCAGGGAGGGAACCGCCAGAAGGTGTCTGGGCAGAACGATGGGGGTAGAGACGCTCTTTCAGGTATACTGGGCCGAGGCCGTTTAGGGCTTTAAAGGTCAGCAGCAGCACTGAGGGGTGTGCAAGATTTTTAAAACTAGCCTGCTGTACAAAAGTAAAATGTACATATGTTGCTCCAACCATCACTAGCAAGCGGCCAGAAGAGAATGTGGCCCTGAGGAAGAAGGGTCCCCCATCCATGCACTATGCTGTTTGTCTAAAGTGCCATCTTCAGTTTGTGTGTGGCATGTAGTCACATTCCTAATAGTTGTATGGGAAAGCAATCTAATCCCGCGAGTTAAGTGTTAACACTTGGTGAAATTGCCTGACAAAATTGTCTTGGACAAATTGCTTTACATGCTCAATCCCCACTGACCAGGAGTGGTGTTCGGTGACACAGATTACTTAGTATTTCGACAAGTTCAAATACATGTCCAAAAGCTGTTCAGAGTTCAAAGTTGTTTCTGTGATCAGTTTGACAGGCTTTGGGGGCTGGTGGTGGGTGACTTGGGGGAAGCTGGAAATGCGGCTAGCTTCCACCTTTTGGTATGATACTACCTTAATGAGCACATTTATCAAAGAAGTATTCTTCTCATGATTGAAAAACATTACAGTATTTAGAAGCTCCTTTATATCCATAAGAATTCCCATCTATCTTTGTATCTTGCTTTGTGCACTGTTTCATTACTGGAGAAAATACAGCAATTCTCCCCCAAGTGAACTGAATGAGTGCATTCTGGTTTCCTTGATTTCTGTTCTAGCTGTTTTAAAATTATGAAACCATAAAGGCTCAATTAAGAGGTTGGCTTTATGAATTGCTTTGTTCCTATGCCTACTAAAGCTTTTACTGAATACTGCATTTGAGATAATACCGGGGAGGAAATGGGCAACAATAGCCACTTGTAGCAGAAGTGTAGGTTTGTAAATACAGTATTTTTCATACCCAGTTTTATTTGTGTGTCTTGAAGTAATGAAGCTCTTATTTTGGGCAAATTCTTCATGTAGGGGCATGTATACTGAAACAAGTCTAGAGAAGCTAATTCCAAAATACATTGTGTAGACTTTAAGCTGCCACTATACTCCTTTTGTCTGCAAATGGCTAGCATGGCTGCCCCTCTGAAAGTTATTACTACTGTGCCATCTAGTGGCTGATTATTTGAATACAAGTGCATCAGTGCACCTTCTGTCTCTCTGTGAAGGAAATTTCAAGGAAACTTTTGCTGCCTTTGAATGATGTATTGCCTGTCGTCAGCCATTATACTTATTGCTAGTGTTAATACTGATCATATTATTTGTCAATTTGTTGATGCAGAAATTGGCCATAGGGGAAGAACCTTCTCAAAGCATCTTACTTTTGTACTAAGTCTCTAACCTTCACTGTACTTCAGGAAGTTGTGGAAAAATAAAAGGAAAGTTTCTAGTTCTCAGGTGCTTTTGGTTAAAAGCCTCCAATTATATTTGCCAACACCGTAAGCATCTTCTTGGTTTATGCAAAAAAATTAATTACAGAAAGAGAGTTTTTCAATAAAGCCAAGATTCATGTTTGATCCTAGCTCCTCTAACATCATATACACTGTTGTGTGTATGTGTGAGCAGGCATCTTCTCAGCCTACATGTGGATTCCTAAATCTGCAGGCTGGTTAGATGGTTGTCATACATACATCTGATATCTACTTAAATATGAGACGTTTCAAGATACCTTGAAGCATCAGCATTCATACAGCTCTTTTTAAAGTGATTAATGAGTCACTACTTCATTGTGGGCATTGTAGCTCGGAATCCCAGTAACCATGTTGATCTGTCAGCGCTCAAAAATCCAGATCAAGGTTGGTGATGTTTTGATGAACCCAATGCCTTTTTTTTGTATCAAACACCTGCATTTGAACAAAAGGCCAGGGGAAACAGTGAAGGATAGGTAATTATTATTATTGTTGCTTCAAGAGAGGTCCAACTTAACTTTCTTTCCCCTGAGTGCTGCTGCCTTCAGATAATGCTTTAGCCACCTGAATTCCGTAGAAAAACTGAAAGGTGCAAATCCATTTAGAAAAGTCATATTGCTTAAAATAACCTTTTAGTGCCCCGCTCTGGATTATGCACATTAAATATACAGAACTTTCAGCAGCCTATGTTCCTTCCATACCCCTGGTCTTTCTCAGGGTTTTTGAGTTGAGTTGGCTGTTATCACAGTCTTTTCTCATAAGGAACCTTAAGTTTCAAATTATATTGGTTGGCCACTTCATTCAATATACACTTGATTTCTCTTATTCTCTCCCTCCTCGCACTCTATCAGAGCTGTGGCAATCCATAACTCACAGTCTCCTCCATCACTCAGAGTCTGGAATACTTATCTCTTTCATTTAGCTCTCCTTCCCCAATAATTGGTAACAATTCCCAACTGTATGGCTGTTGCTTCCCCTTTTGCTGTTCACCTGAGTCTCCTGATAAGGGTGGGGGAGGCCTATATTTCCATCCCCGTCCTTTCAGCCAACTTCCAGCCTGGCCATGTTTCTTCTTGGCCACAAGCCCCAAATGGCCTGAAGATGGGAGGCATTCACAGACAGTTCCTTAGAGGCAGCATATCTGGTACTTTATTTATTTCAAACATTTGTACCTCCTGTTCCAGGTGGCTTATAACTACCAAAAGGTGAATAATATTGCAACATTCAGAAGCAAAGTTTTTAAAAAAATAAATAAATAATGGGATAGAAGCATACCTAATCATATATTTTTTTATCCCATTATGTGGTTCTGTTGCATGTGAACTGCCTCACGCTCCCTGCTGAAAACAAAATATATAATTGCAGTTCTTGCTGTGCAGCAGTAGTGGGGAACTTTTCTAGTCCAGCGAACTAGACTGTGGTGACCTCAGGCCAGGTTTGAAATGTGGGTGCTGCTGCTCACCTGTCAATCACTTGACACTGCAGTAACATCAAGTGGCCTTTTTTGCCATCGGGAGTCTTCCGAAGCCCCTTTCATAGCTCTTAGAAGAGGAACTTCTGAAGATCTGACAGAAGCCCTGCTCAAAGCGGAGGGCTAGATAGCACTTTTGAGTGGAGCTTCTGAAGAAGTCACCCATTGGCACTGCCTTCCAACACCCTTTCAGCCAAGTCTGGCTCTTATCAGCCGTTTGCTGCGACATCAGGTGTAGGGCAGGTGGGTGTGGCTTTGCCCTCAGGGGCAAAGTGGGGAGACCTGTTGAAGCCTTCATGCCAGAAAATTTCCACTCCATACTCTAGAGACAGTACTGATAGGGACCCACACCTAGGTAAATAGATTTTTCAGACTTCATCCGCAATCCAGTGAGCTGTTGTTGTACCGTAGGCAGGAGTTGCTTTGATCTACAGCAGAATCCTCTGCCACAAATTGCTCTTGAAATTCCTTGAGCTTCAAAAGCAACTTTATCTGTGATGTGGAAGGGCTTGTATGGATTCTTGTTTCGCGGATAGTTGCTCATTACAGACTCTCCCCCCCCCCCCCGGCTGCCACTCAGCGCTGCCTAAAACTCTGCTGTGAGGGATTGTAAAGACCTTTTCAAAACAGCATGCAGGGTTGTATGGGGTAAATTGGAACGAGCATTTTCCTTCACAGCACAAAGAGCTCTGCTGGTCCATAGGATCTTCCTCAAGTGTGTTTGTTCAATTATTTTTTGTTTAGAGTTCTTGTAAACCTCTCAACATTTAAAAATTCCAAAGTATTATGTAAAGGATAAAATGTGCAATAGAAAATGGCATATAAAGGACACAGGATGCAGTTTAGTATTTTTCACAATGACCGATACAAACATCTTTAGCATACGCTGAAAGCAGAATATTGTGAGGGCAATTGAGGAACAAAGCCAGAGTCAAAATTGGTTTTTAATGAAAAATCAAATTACATACAGTTTCTAAAACAGTCTGAAATTTTCCATATAATTGTGTTTTTAAAGATAAATCTGCCCTACTGAGCTTTTATCAGTTCTTTTGAGATTGAAACTGGCGCCTTAATATGAATGGATTAATGCTCTTGGAAACCATTAAGAGCAGTTTTTAAGGAAATAATTTTAAAAACAATTGAAGCATAAATACAATTGTAATGCTGATCTTGTATCTATTTTTATATTGTCAACTTAAATAGAAATAAATTTAAATCAGTTTGTCCTTCTCATTTTATTACATTTGGCCATGCTTGAGGACCCAGGGATGAAAACAATTGTGCTTTTGATAAACTCAATTTTAATATCTTAAAAGTTTATAGAGCAAGTCACTGTTTTTCTTCATAGTATATAAATTTGGGCTAGAACACTAGCCCGTGTTCTTTGTTCAAATATTTCTAATTTATACGGGAGACTTTTAATAGTATTACAGTTTAAACTTTTTGTCTTTATGTTCTGTTTCTGCTGCTTGCCTCCACTTGCTTGGTGAAACATAGGAAAACATTTTAAAAATCAGATAACGGTATTAAAAGGGGTAAGATCAAGGGGACGAGAGAGCTGTCAAAACTGATAGAATATTGTCTGGTTCAAAGGTGAACCAGATGGTGAAAATAGCTCTGCATTCCACTTCGTTGATCCTTATTTTTCATAAGTGTTCAAATCCTGTTGACATATGGGAAGGGAAAAGATCCATACATACTTTTTCTCACCTCTGCACCTCCTCTAGTCTGGATACATTTCATAATTTCCCTAGAGACTCCATTTTTAAAGAATCTCTCTTAGCAACTATTGTATTATATAGGGTGAATTAACAGGGGTGTGTTGTTATTTTTTAAAAAAAAGTGGGTTGGCTCCAAAGAAACATGAAAAGAAGGAAAATATCAGCTAATAGTTCTTGCAAAACCTTTCCTAAGAGTTCACTTAGTTGTATATTATGTGGTCCCTGTAGTAGTTTCCATGCTTCTGTTTGGTGGGGAGGTTTTGCAAATAGAACATATTTTCTTACAAAAGGCTCTAGCATAAGATATGAAACAGCCTTTCAGTGAGTAGGACATCTTCCGTATATAGACAGGCACCTTTGTATCCTTTGTATAAATACAAAATGAATAAATTCAAATGCAGGTAAATCTAATTTCTATGGGCACAAAATCTCTTCTTTTTAAGTAACACTGTGCATACCGTCTTGGTTCCCATCCAGGAACACACTGATAGTTTTTTGAACTTGCAGCACTGACAGGTGTAGAACAGAACCAGCATCTCTCAGTGCTGTTTAAACAGAGGCCACTGAGTTGTATGCTTGGTTTTGCCCCTGATATTGCTGGGATTCCCCTTCCCTCTCCATATGTGTTTAAGGTGAATGTTTACAGCAGAGACACCCTGATTTCCCAGGGGTTTTTAATTGTGGGGGTAGCATCCTCGGGTATCAAACACAAGAGGATCTGGGAAGAACTGGGTGATAATTTGGACAGGCTAAATAAAAGCATAGCCTTGAAGCCCTGCTTGTACCCATGGTGAGTAATGCCAGAATAGGGCTGTGGTGTTTGCCAGTCAGCTGTAATGCAAGGCAGGAGGAAGGAAGCCCATCTTGTGTCCTAGTGGCACATCAGAACAAACAGCACAAGCCACATCTCTGGTTCTAATGGGAGTTTAGCAGAGAACTGCCTAGCTGAGCCCAGTGTCCTTTCTTGCTTCCTGCCTTACCTAACAGCTCTTCAGTGTTATGAATTGCTCCAGACTGAAGCCTTTCAAAGAGCTGATTTGCTCCTGTGAGGTGGAGTCCCAAACTCGCCAACCGCCAGTGGCTGTGACATGAGTACTACTGATTGCTGTTACTGAATGTGCCTTCCCCAATGCAGTTCACTTTTTGTACACCTGCTAAGAATAACCTATATGTTCAAACCCATTTGTCTTGACTAGAAGATTGTAAAAGCACCACTACGGAGGTTATAGGTTAGGCAACATTATTCGGAGAAGCATTCTGTCCCTTCTCTACAGGTGTTATAATACAAATAATTCTAATGAAATGAGCTTGGTGAAGATCTCACATGAAAACATTGGCTGTCCTTTCTCCCTTCTGTTAAACTTTTTCTCTCTCCATTCTGTCTTTGTGCTTTTATGTCACGCCAGTTAATTTGTGGCGGTCTTCTATTCCCGAAACCTTAGCAATGTAAAATGCTGGTACTGTGTGTGAAATTAGGCTTCCCCTGACAAAGCTCTCTTGTTTCTTCACGCTTTCTTTCCTTATGTCACTATTTTCTCTGGCAGCCTGGTAGACAACTGGCCTGGTGTGTACCTAAAGATCTTCTCCCTCTCGTTTGTCTTTGGCCAGCTGTATCTTCTGTGAGTCATTTGGTCAGGAAAGACTTTGACTTCTTTATAGCATGAAAACAGGATTACAACAGAGTGCTGTTTGATCTGGCATAGTATTTTAGAATGCTGAAACAGTTCGTTCTTTAAAATGTCTCACTTTTCCAACCTTTCATCCTGGTTTACCCCAGTCTCTGGTGTAACCATAAGAGGTGCTTTTATGTTCTGTCTTAAAACTGAAGTTTCAAATGACTTCTTAGGAATTTTTCTTAGGACAATTCTTTTTTCCACTTGATTATTGGTGGCTCATGTATACTGGAGAGGCCTGAGGAAACACTTTTAAAGAACTTTTACATATGTAGTCTATCAACTTCCCTTTTTATTAAGTTTTGTTGGGCAAATGATTTTGGTGTACTGGGAGAATGGATTTGTTCATACATGGAGGATCCACAGTTTTGCTCACCATGGTGAGTACCAAGAGAGCCTCTGGCCAGCATGATTCCTAGGCCTCCTCCTAACTCTGAAGTTGCAGGAACACCCCCAGGGCAAGTATTTGACACAAGTCTCAATTTGTGTTGGCTCTGACTTGTTTGGTGTTCTGGGTGCCTGGCAATGGCAGACCAGCTAGTGGGGAAGGGGGGTGGAGTAATTTTTTAAAATTTAAAAAGGAGAAATGGCTTGCACTGAAATATTGCAAGTTCTGATTGAATCTGAAGCATGGCTGACCTTCTTGAAATAATACATGCTTTGCTCCAGTTCACTGTCTAAAACAAATAACATTAGAACAGTCTATTTAATATTAGAGAAATGTTAAAACTGTTTTTAAAAGGTGTAAGACAGAAATTAATTCACACATTTTCTTTCTAAATGACTCGCTCGAAGACCCCTTCATTTCCAACTCCGTATTCCCCAGGGATTAAGTACAATATTAGCATGCACTGCATTCATGTAGGAATTCCTGTTGTACTGTTAGCTATTGTCTATGAAAATCCTTGAACTCTGGCATTGAAAAGTTAAACCCTTTTCATAGAAATCCAAATTCCTGATTTATTGCTGTTGAGATTGGGCCTTCAGAAATACATACTGATGCACTATGATGTGGTATGGAAGGCTGCGCTTGCTTGGTTTCAGGAGCTGGTCCAATCTAAACATCTAGTTGGGGTGGGAAGACAGTGTTGCAGTCAAACATGGCTAAAGTGGCTTTCAGCCTAACACAGAATAAATGATATGTTTGGAGTAAGGTACATGTTGGTAAAATGGCTCAGCTCCACTTGAAGTGCAAATGGAATCCACGCCTTGTGTAGCTTTAGCCTTCACTCATTATTGAAAACCAATTCTTTAAACAAAATAGTGAACGGACTCATTTTCCTCGCATGAAAAAAAAGGTTAATTGCAAGTCTCTTCTGATGAAAAACATATTCCAGAACTGAAATGTGTATTGAAACCCTGTCAAAAATGAATTAAGATTCCCAATAAGAGCTGTAGGAGTTTGAAGAAATTTCCCTGGTCTTGGCTGTAAAACTTTGGCACTGCTTTGCAGCAAATTAAAACCAAGGATAGTTGATGCCAGCTATACCACAATGGCTTGTTCATCTCCTAACATTGCCCCTGAACAGGATGTAAGTCTCTGTTATAAAAGGTATTGCAAGAAAAAACCTAGAGGCTATTGAAACTATCAAGAATAATCTGCACTAAAAGATGTAGGCAGACGCAAAAATGTTGGCATTACTAAGTATGAATTTTATATATGAAATGAGGATAGCCAACAAGGTGCCCCCCCCCCGGTGTTGTTAGGCTACATGTCCCATTATAGCTCACCATTCTGGAGGGCATCACAGTGGCTACTCTGGAGTAGAATATTACACTCCAAGGCACTTGAATATTTTAAAACACTTAGATTCCCTCCTTCTAAATGATTAGCCAACGAATCAGCTGAAATGCTATCTAAAGCTACCTGTTCTAAAGTAAATTATCAAATGCAGATTTTGGAAGCTAAGATACTGGGCACAATTAAGTATGTTAGCCTGAATCAAAGCAGCTACATAAACCAATTTCTCGGATGTGTTTCTGAAACAGCAGTTTCCCATCACATGTGGCAACCCATCTTTTAAAACTGAGGGCAGTTTCAAAACAAATGTGTGGCATGGTTTGTAAGACTGCTGCTAGAATGTGAGGAAGTCGATAATCCCACTGGACACGCACTGGGCGCCCCTTTCCTGTCGCTTGGCTTTTCCCACTGCACAAGCAGCAATGCATTGCAGAAACAGGATCCAACAGTTAACCATGGCTTCCCATTATCTACAAATTCAAAAACTGGTTAATTGTTTCCAAACAAGCCAAGATAGGAAGCCATCAAACAATGGTTTCACATTTTGGCTTCTTTTGAATCCTAGCTTGTTTTGCCATTCACGTGACACAAGGAGCAAAGTAGCTGGAAAGAGGCTGCCCATAGGTGCCAAATCAGTCAAAAGATGTCAGCTGTAGTGCATTGTGTATGTTGCTGTGACATCCATCTGGGTCCAGCATATGCATTTAAGTTGATTTCAAGTGGTTACCATGCAAGTGTCTGTCAGGCTTTGGACACCACATTAATCCCCAGTGGATTTTAATACAATTTTGATATGACACTGAGAACCATTTGGACATATATGACTGGGACTCTGTATTATTGTTTTCCTGGACTACATTTTGTGATCCATTTTGCGATGCTTTGCCGGACTGATGGGATGTGAACAATCTGAATACAGCAGTAATGGATTTGCATATTGTGATTTGGAGGGACACAGCAGTATAAGTGATTCCTTTGTTGGGACGGAATGTACTTGGAAATGGGGCAGGTGACTCTTGCTGCTTTTCAGTTTCTCCAGAAGCTCTACTTTATATGGGACTATAGGCAGTGCTTGAATTATGGTAGGGGAAAGGTAGCCCCATCCCACAAACTACCCCAAACTTGCCAAATCATAGCTCGACTACAGCCTTCTATAAAAGGGTACTAAGGTGGCTGTTGGAAAAGAGCAAGCAGGTAGGGCCCCTCTAATCTCTGCACTCATGCAATTTGACTCCCACCCCCCCTCTCCTTGTGTGTCCCTGCATTCTGCCAGATCTGCTTTAGGTTCCCTACAACCCTCCAGAGAATATTGGGGAGGTGTGAGCAGTGCACAAGGGAAGAGAGAGAGGGAAAGTTCCATTGTACTGTATGCTTTAGAAATGTGTGTTTGTTTGTTTTTAAAAAACCTAACAAAAAAACAAAGAGTATTGTGTTTGCCTCTGGCTACCATATTCTAAAATCGTTGTCGGCAAAAGCTTAGATACTAAAAGTTTGAGAATGCAATAGAAAAGAGACTTACAGGACAAAACTAAGAACCAGAGTTGCCCAGTAGTTAAAAAGATTGCATTACAGACAATAACTAAGAGGTAATAGATATAGGGACGCGGGTGGCGCTGTGGGTTAAACCACAGAGCCTAGGACTTGCCGATCAGAAGGTAGGCGGTTCGAATCCCCGTGATGGGGTGAGCTCCCGTTGCCCGGTCCCTGCTCCTGCCAACGTCACAGTTTGAACGCACGTCAAAGTGCAAGTAGATAAATAGGTACCGCTCCGGCAGGAAGGTAAACGGCGTTTCTGTGCACTGCTCTGGTTCACCAGAAGCAGCCTAGTCATGCTGGCCACATGACCCAGAAGCTGTACGCCGGCTCCCTCAGCCAATAAAGCGAGATGAGCGCCGCAACCCCAGAGTCGGCCACGACTGGACCTAACGGTCAGGGGTCCCTTTACCTTTAATAGATATATATATATATAAGAAAAATCTTTTAGGCTGTAAGAACAGTCGAGCAGCAGAGCATGCTGATGATCACAGAATTGTCTTCTCATGTTTGGTGGCTTTAGCTTTGGGATTCTATCTACAATGTAGGTGCTTGGCACTTGCTCGTAGAGATGACTTCCTCATCAAGTGCCATAATGACTCATAGCCCGTTCTTCAGCTTGTTTGGCTTTTAGTAGCTGTGCTTGTGCTCCTGCCATTTACGCATTCACTCATGTTGTCATTCTGTTACTAAAGTCAATCCATTTTGCTGCTATCCTCTTCCCTTCCTTCTGTGTCGCGTCTAGCAAAGATCATTAGATACAGTAACCAATTTCAAAGTCTGACCAGATATTCTCCCCCTTTGAAAAGTTTCCTGGTTGAAATAATTGTTCAAGGCCTTCCTATCCAGTGCATCAAGATATTGGAGGCAAAGCAATAAAGCGTCATGCTCCATAACTCTTAAAAACGCCTCTTAACTGTAAAATTAGCAGAATAAAACCAATAGTGTGTAAAAAGTCTTGAGCTGCTTTAGGTAACTGCAGTCCATTAAGTACTGGGTCTGGGACAGTCATACAATAGTCATGCTATTACTGCCTAATCCTATTGAAGGATTATACAATAGCATTTCAAATTTTCATCGTCCGGCAACTCTCATTTATGATGGTCGCTTCACCACATTGTCAAGATAGCAGCCAGTGAAAGAAAAGCTTCCACGTAACTGAGCCATTGAAACAATCTCTTATTAGCTTTTGAAGTCAAGAATTGTGTGGACACAGAAGTATGTCTCGAATAATTGGCTTGGATCCTGAGACATGCAAGCTGAACTGCAGTTCCACTGTAAAGTTTTCCTCCCTTTCCTCATCAGTGCAGCCCCTGAATAGTGTAGGCCAGAGCTTTCCAAACTTTTCATGTTGGTGACACACTTTTTAGACATGCATCATTTCGCGACACAGTAATTCAGTTTTACTAGCAAACCGGAGGTTAAACTAACCCCTTTCCGGTTCTGACAGGAGCACACGAGAGCCAGTGTGGTGTAGTGGTTAAGAGCGGTGGACTCGTAATCTGGTGAACCGGGTTCGCTTCCCCGCTCCTCCACTTGCAGCTGCTGGGTGACCTTGGGCTGGTCACACTTCTTTGAAGTCTCTCAGCCCCACTCACCTCACAGAGTGTTTGTTGTGGGGGAGGAAGGGAAGGAGAATGTTAGCCGCTTTGAGACTCCTTCGGGTAGTGATAAAACAGGATATCAAATCCAAACTCTTCTCTTCTTCTTCTTCACAGTGAGCATTTGCGCAACACACCTATATACTGTAGCCGACACACTAACGTGTCACGACACACAGTTTGGAAAGCTCTGGTGTAGGGTATGGCACAGTGGGGAACCTCTGGAAGGGGGTACCTTATATGAGTGGAAGTACATTTATGCTTGCCCATAGTGCTGTTAGATCCAAACCATTCAAATTTGATACAGCCTTTTGTTTAGCATTTGATGGTTTCCTTCAGTGGCAAATGGAAATGTTACCTCTTTTTTGCTATTTTTTTCTACCTGCAATTTAAGCAATTAGCCTTACTCAGCTAAAAATGGCAAATTATCTTCTACTAAGAAAGAGCACAGTCATTTAATGGTTCCTTTTGTGCCACATAAATGCATGAAATGCTATTTTGAAATGCATTGATACCAGCGACATAATACACAACAAATAATCTCCAGTATGTAGTTACAATGCTACAATAAATTAATGCTGACTTTGTTGTATTGGTACAGATCTTTGAATCACTAGTTAGATATCAAGAGTCATATTAATTGTCAGATATTGGTTATAGTTGACTACCTACTGTAACTCAAGTGTCCTGGGGTACCACGCAGTAAGATTTCTCATCTTCCACTCAGTAAAAATAAATGCTTTGTCCTTTTTCTTTCCTTTTTCCCAGTATCTGCTTTCACAACCAAAATTCTGGGCAATTCAAACTTCTGCTCTGCTTCTCCGAACGAAGCTTGAGAGGGGAAGCATTCGTCGAGTAGAACGGGCTATGAAACAGACTCAGGTAAGAGGGTTTTTTGGTATATAGTTAAATCTCTCTTCCAATTTTCTACTCTTGCTATTTGAAGTGCTTTCTTTCTTCTTTTTTTAAATAAAGAAGCAATATAAATATTCAGGGCTTTTCATAACACTTGAATTACTTGCATACTTTAGTTATTTCTAAATGCAGCGAACAAACATTTTCTGTAGGCTATTTAGAGCTGCAGCTTTTTTGCAGTCTTGGTGAAGGATACCCAGGGATAGAAACCTGTTTCTGCTTGGATCACCATTATTAGATAGTGGCAGGTGATGTTCTGCCTCTGTACAGTATTGGCCAAATAGCTACTGGTATTAAGCACAAGGACAAAATGTTCAGGAAGATCAAAAGATATTAGAAGTGTAGAGAACAAACTGAAATGTCAAAAATATCTTTTGAAAGACTGCTGAAGTATTTTTACTGATTACAGCTGCAGGCCTATGGATATTTACTTAGGAAAAAAGTTTCATCAAGCTCTGTGGAATTTCTGGGTGAACATACAGGATTGAGCAATAGTTGATATCGCTAGTAAGGTTTCTGCAATGTTTAATGCAAAATCCAAAAAATGCTGACAGATTAATATTTTTATGAAAATATATTTCCTTTATTTTGGTGTACACATGCTATTTTCTTGAACCGGGCTAAGGATTTTAAGGCAAGTTGTTGTTTTTTTAATATTGAAGTCTCATTCTAAGCCATGTTAAGGAATTTGTTGATTTGTTACTTTTCAGGCTGCCTAAAGTGATAACGCTGTAGTTTTAGTTACCTGTCAGAAATCTGCCATTGCCTGTCTTCATGGGAATTACAAGCAGATACAAGTTTTGATCTGTATGATTATTACACAAGAATCTTATGCAGCCAACACTGTTCCCACCTAATCATATCTTTGCTTTTATAATGCAGTTATTGTGCCTGTTAGCATTCGATAGTTTCATATTTTCTTTGCTGCTGAATCATGGAAATTTTCCTATTTAGGATTTCTTGTATGTGTTTCATTCACAGCTAAACAATTTTCCTATTAAGGAGGCAAGTGGTGTGTCATACCAAAGGTGCCTTTAAAAATTGCTTAGCAAGCAAACTGGTATTCTAATGGGTAGGGCTGTCTGTCTTTAAGACTGAAAGGTCACCCAAGACTATTTCCCCCCCTTAATCAAACACAGATGTGGTTGTGGTAGCTTGTGTCAAATGGCAATTCATTACTAAAAATGGTCTCTTTTAAGTGTCATTTTCTGCAATAATTATCACTTTTGTATAGGGGGCATAAAGGGGAGCAACTATTTGCCACTTATTTGGTTAAGAATCAGTGTGGCTGTCCAGTCACTATCGTAGTGAATCTGGCCAAAATTCTTCCCGAAAAGCATTTCTTGAACATCTGATTCAACTGAATTGATTGGTTGTTAGTGGTGTTTTTGTATCTTAATTTTAAGTGGAAATTTTTCGGTTTGGTTATGTAGTTTTTAATGTGTTTTATTTTTATGACTATTTTGCTATATTTGTAATTATGTAAAGCTTTTCATATTGTAAGCCGCCTTGAGCATTGTTTTAACTGTGGAAAGGTGGCATACAAATAAATGATGATGTTGATGGTGATGTTTGTAGCAGGATGCCTGCTGCTGGAGTGCTGTCTCCCACACATTGCTGCTCTCTCAGGATCAGAAAGAAGACTTGCAGCTCTCTCTCCTGTCGCAAACCCCACCATTAGAAAAGCCATTCCTGAAAACTGGGGGTTCCAATAATAATAATAATAATAATAATAATAATAATAATAATAATAATAAGTAGTAGTAGTAGTAGTAGTAGTAGTACCCCGCTCATTTGGTCACACATTAAAATCTTCCCTAAACAGGGCTGCCTTCAGATGTCTTCTAAAAGTCTGGTAGTTGTTGTTCTCTTTGACATCTGGTGGGAGGGTGTTCCACAGGGCGGCTGCCACTACCGAGAAGGCCCTCTGCCTGGTTCCCTGTAGCTTTGCTTCTCGCAGTGAGGGAACCGCCAGAAGGCCCTTGGTGCTGGATCTCAGTGTCCGGGCAGAACAATGGGGGTGGAGACGCTCCTCAAATAAATGAAAACTAGAAATTCAGTTCTTCCTTGACAGATAGTTTTGCTGTCTTCTGACTCCTATAAAATTCTGGATAGTTCTAAGAGTAGTCCAGTAGCATAAGATTTTGCAACATCAGACTAGCAAGTTTGGGGGGTTTTTTAATCAACTGCAGCTGTTACTTTTTTGTGGTTTCTTCAAAAGAGAAGCAATGTTGGCAATTAAAACAAGTTACGGTATAATTTATCATCACTGAATAGTTCAAAAGATTCATTGGAAATGTGTGTTCGACAGAATGAAACTTGGTGCTCTTTGTTTTTATGTTGACTGTATTCCTAATATAAAAAGTGGTCTTATTTCAACAGAGAAGCCTAAAATCCTGTGAGTGTCATAAACCCTTTTCACTTTATGTGGTAATTGCATCCTCATATGGGTAAACAAGGATGGAATGTTATATTTTAAAATACAGTGGCCTTAATTTAAAACGGTTTTTAGCAATCACTAAATTGGTTCCCTCTGCATTCTATAGAGGTAACCAATAAATAGTACTTTTGTACACAGAATCTTTTATCTCATAGTTTGCACTGGAAATTGATGAAAACAAGATAAAATGAAGCAAAAGCACATGAATCATTTTTAGTGGAGGTCTTCGTAAATGAGCCATGTTTCTAGGCTTCCAATATTCATAGAATCATAGAGTTGGAAGGAATCGTGAGTATCATTTCTTCCCGACACCCTGCAAAGCAAGAGTCTTTCTCCCAAGCCCATTTCTTTAACTCCTTCAGCAGACCCTAGGAATGCCAGGGGCTTCAAAATGTAAGCTGTTGGAAGTGTCCCCTAAAGCAGGGATGTCCAACAGGTTGACCGCGATCTACTTGTAGATCCCTGGGAGTGTTTGTAGATCGCGGTCGATCGCTGAGTCCCTTTCCTTAGCGTTGGTAAAATCAAATCCAGCCCCGCCCCCTCACCCCTCCCTCCAGAACGGAAGACGGTGTTTACTCAGTGAGGCTCATTTGTTGGTGAGTGGCTGTTCCCTTTGACCTGAACTCCCAAAAAACAGGGGTCACTGCCAGTGACCAGATTACTGCTAGATCACTGCCAGTTTTTAATTCTGTAAGTAGATTGCAGTCTCTTGGGAGTTGGTCACCCCTGCCCTAAAGCATCTAAATGCAAGGATCACGGAGGGAGGGAAATCTGTGACTTCTGTGGTTAAGCACTCTAAAACATTCACAGTGCAATCCAATCCATTTAATAGAGCTTATTCCCAGGTAAATATAGATAAGAATGCAGCCGTCAGGGCCGGCATGTCCCCTTGAGCCTCTTGAGGTGAAACGGGAAGTGCCACCCTGCTGGTGGAGAAGCACTGCCAGCATCAACACTGATTTCTGGCAAGGTTCTGTGGGCAGGGTGCCCCCCGGGGTGCAGCCACAAGGGTTTCTGCCAACCAAGGTGGTTGCTTCACACACACACACACACACACACACACACACCCATGGTGGGCCTGGCCTGGCAAGCCTTCGTGCTGTACTTTGCTAAACTGAGCTTCATTAGGATTATCCTTAGAGCCCATATAAATGAAATTCTACTTTATGTTATCTAATTACACATTGTTATTAATTTATTATATTTGTTAACTGCCCTTCACCTTAAGTTCCCAGAATTACATCTTTTTTTTTAAAAAAAAGACCACAACAAGACAATAAAAACCATCTCAAAATACTACACCATGGAAGCACTCTGTTACATTGGATAGTGGGGTCATGGGTTCGAGCCCCACGTTGGGTAAAAGATTCCTGCATTGCAGGGATTGGACCAGATGACTCTTGTGTTCCCTTCCAACTCTACTGTTCTATGATTCTATGATTTAAGAAACACTATTTTGCCCATTAACAATCAGTCATTGCTTCTGAAAAGGTCTGGACCTTTGTTTACAGTCTGATCCTATGCATTTTTAGTTGGAAGTAAATCCCCATTTTGCTTAATAGGACTTGCATCCAAATAAGTGTTCATAGGATCCAGAAATCTGTCTCTGTTCTCTCAGAAGATAGAATTCTGCAGTGCTAATATATGTTGATTGTATAGCCAGAGTTTTGTAATTTTGCTTTAGGTTATATAAATTCCAGATAGTGGTAAACAATTACATTTCCCTTCTTAATATCACCAAACAACATGCATGATATTGTTCTTTCAGGTAATATATGCATTTCAGAATTATTTAAATTGAGTTTCCCAATTGAAATCAGTTGCCTCAGTGATTTATACATTGCCATGATTTAAACCATTCCAGCCTGATCTTCTCTTGCACTCAGCAAATTGCAGTTCCTGACACCATGAAAAGGTTGAGTTAGACTTCCAGTACATGTTGTTTTGCCCGTCTTGTTTAAAATAAATAGGTAGGCTTTTTGTTTTTGTTTAATTCTCTTTGTTTAAGCCAAAAGCTGCATACAGGTGCACATTTCCATTTTGTTTTCCATATTTTTTTATCATTGGCCATGAGTATATTTTGCATGTCTCTCTGTTATTGAGTTCAAAGTTGGTTGAGGTTAATACACCTCCTTAGGAAAGCTCACCTAACCGCTGCACCCAGACAGTCTCCCCACCCCCACAGCTTAGCATGCAGTGTTTAAAATGTTTTCTGGCTTCATCTCATACCTATTACCATTTTCCTAGTAGGTGGTCCGTGCAATTCAGCTCTGTAGCTTAATGGATTTCAGCAATGCTCTTTTCATAAAACATCACTGTGAAAGCAGCAGATAGCATTAGCTCATCTGATTTATGGAATACCATGTGGTGACCTTTTGGAGGAAGGTCCCAGTTAAATTTAGTTTGCATACTAAATGCCACAGCTATATGGAAGAATGAATGGTGAGGATGCAACCAGGTGACCTCCCCCCCCCTCCAATTCAAAGATCAGGAAGCAAGTCAGTCATGCTCAATTGTAGTCTCTTATGCAGGCAATATGCATAACCTTTGCTGGTTTGGAAAGCCTGTGTTTTGTTCACCTTGCCATACCTGCAGAATGTTAGGGTCTCTTAATGTTGGATGACATTGGCGTTGTGTATGAGTCACCCTGTCTGTAATAATAGTTGTCAACAGCACACAGTGTCTTACATCCTCCCCTGTTAATTAGAGAAAGGTGGTTCTCCCTGCCTAACCCCAGATGTAGGAATACCAATTGCGCTTGAAGCTTTGTACTTGCTTTGTTGCAGAATTTTATCACTTAAGTATTAAAGCACTGCATTAAAATGCAGAGATTTAACTGGGAAAGGAAGGAGCAGATGGTGAGGTTTGGCTTTCTTTAAATGTTTGTAAGAAAATGATTAATTTTAATACTAATCAAAAGAAGTTATTTGGAGATTTTAGAGATTTTTCATTCTAATAGATGCATGCGCTGGTAAGAGAATGAGATACATTTTTTAACTTTCATAAAGCGATTGTGTGATCTATTCTATGCAGTTTTCATCATCTTTTCTATTGTATCCACATGTTATCAGCCAGGAATTAGATCCCACCCATTAACAAAATAGCACTGTGCGGTCGTATCCTCCCTCTTATCATATTGTTATTCCATTTCATTGGGGGAGAGCCAGAAAAATTCAATATTTTGGCCTCCAGTGAATTTTTAAGTCTGGTTATGTCTTTTCTTCCCCCTGACTGCCTTGATTAGAGGACCTCTGGGGTCGGCCAGTTATGCTAAATGTTTCCTTGTGACCTCAGGAATCCATTGCTTTTTTTTAAAGTGAAGAGCTTTAAGTAATGTTTCAAAATAGGAGCAGTGTAACATCAACAGACAAGATCCCAAATAATGTACCATATGCAACTTGCCTGTGATTTAATACAGAGGCATGCAGGAGGGGTTTGAATTGGAAAGCTGAATTATTATTTTCTGTGCTCCATCAAGATTTCCTTAAAATGTCACTACAACTTCCTGCATGGGGATGTAAGTGCTGATATGCACTCATATATTTCTTGATGCCTTATCTGTATTTAGCAGGTCATTATTGGCCCCAATTTTTCACTCTGCGCATTGTTAGCTGGATCCAGTGTAACCACTTCCACCGCTATGGTGTTTCCAGGCCCAACATGCTGTCACAATTTGCTGTCCAGTTTGAGGTAGAACTGGAAAGTGAACTGGAAACAACCTGGGGGGCTGTGTGACAAGCTGATCAGGCTTGAGATGCACCCAGCCAGGTTTCTTTCTTTGCAAGGGGACCACAAGGGTCCCTCACAGCAAGACGTGAAGCTACAGGGAACCAGACAGAAGACCTTTTCAGTAGTCGCCTCCACCCTGTGGACTGCCCACCCAGCAGATGTCAAAGAGTTAGACAGCTACGGTATATAGTTTTTCATAGGCATCTGAAAGCAGCCCTGTTTCAGGAAGCTTTCAGTGGTGGTGATGCTGCTGCTGCTGCTGCTGCTGCTGCTGCTGCTGCTTGTTTTTCCTGTAATTTTGTTGGAAGCCGCCCAAAGTGGCCAGAGCAACCCAGTCAGGGCAGAGTATAAGAATTTCTCCTAATACTAATGCTACTAATAATAATACCAGGACAAACAAGCAGATCAGAAAGGTCAAAGCTTTATTTCCTAACCAAATGTGTGTTTTCCCTTGTAGAGAGGGAAAAGGGAGCCTAGAAGATGGAGTGAAGGAATTACCCTATCTAGCACACTAACTTTAATCCATGTACATACCAAGGATTGGCAGTGGGGGTGTGTGTGAGATGCTCCCACAAATGAAAGACCTGGGCTAGGGAGCCATGTTAGAAGCAAAATAAAAGAATCCTGTGGGATTGTAAAAACAGAATTTCCTTTTGCCAAAATCCACGCTTGTATTGTCTCAATACTTTCCTTTTGACAAGCACAGGAACACCTGTTCTATACGCCCAGAGTCTCCACACATTAAAATCCAGATTGCCAGCTTGCTTGTTTGCTAGCCCAAACCTGTTGCTTCTCTTCCTAGCCCCACTGTAGTGTCCTGTGTCAACGCTACAAGTTGGTGGTTGGGGAGGGCACACAACCTCAAGCACTCCAGTTCATTTTGCATCTTTGAGAGCCTCTTCTTCTTTTAGTGACCACAGAGATTAAATTTGTGGAAGCTCAGAGATGTACCCACTGGAATAGAATTACGTACCTTATTCATGGTTATGGAAAGAAGATCGTTCTGCACCTACTTGTATGTAAAATGCTATATTGTTAAACTCTGTGTGCCCTGGATAGTATTTGCACTAAATTCAAATCAGAAGCCTTGAAGCAATCAGTGAAATGCAGCTACATTTCTCTGGATGCATACAAAATTACAGTCTTTTTAAAATTCAGTTGCATTATTAGGAATTCATGGTCCAGCTATCTACAAGGGATTATTATTCTCAGCTTGCCGACATACTTATCTGTAACAGATCCCACAACACCCTTGAAAGTACTTCATCTGTATGTTGCAGTGACACCTCTGGTCTATTAAATTCATTTTTAGCAAGGGAGCCTTTAATCTCCATTTGCTTGCATGTGTCGCAATGTATTAACTGCAGAAGAGGCAAAATACAGTTGCTACTTGGTTTTGCAAACTGCATTGTTAGTTTTGTAATAGTCCATCCATTGCTCCAATGTTATTTTCCTAAAGCTGTTTTTAGTTACCCAGACCAAAATTTCATCTGAGGAGCCAGATGATGTGGCATTTAAGCTGGCTAAATCTAAGTAAATTCCTTGTGTAGCTAAATAACATCACAGTATTGAAACTTAATATAAATTGATTAGACAGCACATAATTCATGGCGCTGTTTTCCCTAACTACTTGCTTTACAGTGTTAAAAGCAGGATCTGTTCCTTACCGTTTACATTTTTGTGACCACAGAGAGGTAGGAAAGAAACCAAATCTTATGCAAGATATAGGGTGCAAATATTGAATTTAACATATATCGTGCCTGGGTGAGGATTGAACAGGTTTATGCATTACAAGAAAACAGCCTAAAACGAATACTCAGTTTGAACCCAGGAAGGCTGAAGCAGGACTACTCCAAATGAGGAACCAGGACTTACCCAGTAGCCATTCCATGAGTTCATAGCACCCATTCTATCATACTTCCTAAGAATGTTCCCTTATACATGTGATACCCCAGTTTGCCTTATTTTCATCCTGAAAGTTTATTCAGCACATGTTGTTCATGTTTCCATATATTTTTCTGGTGCATAGGCTTGATGCTCTAGTTCTTGGCAACTTCACCACCAATTTACTACATTGTTTTGGTCTTGGATTGTGTTTTATATGCATGCTTCTTTCTGGCAACTTCTGCAGCCAAGCTGGTTCAAAATGTATTGCTTTGTTTTCCCATGGACCACATCAGTGAAGCTGTTGTTGTTTGGTCGTTTAGTCGTGTCCGACTCTTTGTGACCCCATGGACCAGAGCATGCCAGGCACTCCTGTCTTCCACTGCCTCCCGCAGTTTGGTCAGACTCATGTTTGTAGCTTCGAGAACACTGTCCAACCATCTCGTCCTCTGTCGTCCCCTTCTCCTTGTGCCCTCAATCTTTCCCAACATCAGGGTCTTTTCCAGGGAGTCTTCTCTTCTCATGAGGTGGCCAAAGTATTGGAGCCTCAGCTTCAGGATCTGTCCTTCCAGTGACCACTCAGGGCTGATTTCCTTAAGAATGGAGAGGTTTGATCTTCTTGCAGTCCATGGGACTCTCAAGAGTCTCCTCCAGCACCATAATTCAAAAGCATCAATTCAGCGAGGCTGAGAGGGAGGTCTTTTCTGGGCAGCCCAGGACCTCCATATTCACTGCTCACGCTTCCGCCTCAAAGAGTTCACTTTGGTTCTGCAGAGATCCTTGGTTCCCAACAATGCAAAAGGGAGGAATTTTGTCATGAGGGAGGAATTGAAGCCAGCTTTCAGCACTTCTCTTGGGATTCCGTCCTTTCCTGGGGCTTTACCACATGCCTGAGAGTTGATGGCGTTCTTCAGCTTATCAAAGAGGGGGGGACATCCAGCTCTTCCAAGGCAGGCAGACTCTGTTGATTGCTGTGTCAAGGACCATGTTTCCCTGCAAGTACAGTTCTTGTTAGTGCTCTGCACATTGCTTCATCTGCTTGCTGTGGTCTGTGATTATCCCTCCCGACAAGCTTTTCAGCAATGCAGTTTTCCTGACTGTTGATCCTTTCCTCATGCCTTGGTACATTTTGCGAGTGTTGCCAGTGACAGCAGCAAGTTGAATGCTCTGACACAGCTTTAGCTAGTAGTCATTGACACAGCAGTCTGGCAATCAGTGGGGTATCAGTCCTTACCTTTCTCAGTGTAGCAAGTGTCTTCTTGGGAGTCTAGAGTGTCAACTGCTCAAAGTATCCTTCCTTCACTCATGTCTTCCTCCATGGGGTCCCTATTTTGAAATCGTAGGTGTTAGATACAAGCCAGCAACTGATGTTTGTGGGGTTTTCTGATGTACGTAAAGGGCCTAATACCCCCTACTAAGTTACCTATTTCTGTGAGTGGCACTCTGATCCAAACAATTAAATCACTGTTTTCTCTATAAAAACAGCGAATCACCAATTTTTGAAATATGGCAAAGAAGATCCTTTAAAGTATTGTTTAAAATGACCCTGTTATATAGGTGGATTGGTCTGTTTTGAGGCTGGGAATCAAAATAAGGCTTATCCACACTCTGCAGTTGAGCTGTAACCATAGATACGGTACAGTATACTGGTGTCGGATGAATGAATATAATCAGTCTGCTGCTATAATTTATTAGCTATCTTCTCTGATCAGATAGCTGATTAATGACTAGCAAAAATGTGTGATTGCCTTCATGAGGTGGATGTTTGTTTATGGCAATAAAGATATTTAAAGTTACACAGCACGCACAAGAATATTTCAGCTGAATCTGTTGAGGCTATATATATATTAAGAATTGTGGTTCATGCATTCCTTTTAAAAGTGTTTAGGCCTGAATTATAATCTTGTAATAGTGTTGGTGATATCTGCTGTGTGTGTTTTTTTTACTTCTGAAAGTCACCTTGCTATCTTTAGACATATATATTTGAAAGCCAGTTGATGGTGTACTCAAAATACATAACGCTGGTACAGCAAATCTTAGGCCAGGATCCATGCAACCATGATCTGTATTGGGACCTGTGCTTTTCAACTTGCTCATAAATTACGTAGAGCTAGAGGTGAGCAGTGAGGTGGTCAAGTTTGCTGATGACACCAAATTGTTTAGGGTGGTTAAAACAAAAATGCAATGCATAGCAGCTCCGAAAGGATCTCTCTAAACACTGCAAATGGGCATTAAAATGGCAGGTGCAAGTGAATGCAAACAAATGTAAATTAATGCACATTAGGGCAAAATGCTCATTTATACACATGGGGTTTGAACTGGTAGTGAATGGCTTGTATCCAAAGCAGCACTAAGGATTTCCACTTGGACAATGGAACTTTCCCCCCTCTCCTCCTCCCATGGATGTGCCCCTAAATATGAGGGTCTGTAGGGAATGAGTTGCCTTTCACATATTTGGGGCCTAAGTTGATTAGGGCTTTAAACACTAATGTAAGCACCTTGAATTGTGCCTGGAAACAAACTGGCAGCCACAGCAGCTGTTTTAACATGGTATTATATGATTTCTGAATAGAACCCCAGCCAGTAATCTGGCTATTGAATTTGGACAAGTTGAAGCATTGCAATATTTTAATCTAGGTGCTAACAGAGTATGGAGTACAGTGGCCAAGTCTAAAAGTGGCCGGCATGAATTGGAAATATGTGCTCCCAGCCACTAAGGCCACCTGATCCTTCAGTGACAACTCCCAAGGTACAGACCTGTTTTTTCCAGAAAAATGCAGCCCTGTGTGGAACAGGCTATCTTCCCACCTCCTGGAACTTGGAACACATGGCACCTCTTGCTTTTCTTCAATTCACCTTCGATTTACACACTTGAACACTAAGCAGCCCTATTCAGAAGTAAAGTTTGTGTGTTTCAACAAATTAGCAGGGAGTGGAGCAGAGCCTCACCAACTAGCCCGACTTTCAGTCATGCATGCTGCTTTGACCCACTCCTAGCACCACATTAGTGGGTGATAATGCCTTTGTGTATACTTCTGAATAGGGCTTCACAGTGGTGAAGTGAGAAATGCTGACAGAATCAAAAAGTCATTTTCAGGTAATAAATGGGAACAATCTCCTTGTCCCCTCATGGATGAACATAGGCATCAAGTCTCAGCTTGAAGTTGGGATCTTGATCCTCAGCACCTCTATAAATACACTTCATGTATTCATGAAGCCTCCCTCACTGCAAACGTTTATACCAAACACATAGGCATTCGACAGTGGGCAAGTCAGTGTGCGTAAAGTCAGAGGTGGGGCTCGTTGGCGCAGCCCCACTCACACCTTGAATCAATGTATGAGAATTACTTCTGAATGGGACTAGTGTGTCCATAACAAAAACCACATTCTCTAAAATTGTAAAATCGAAACACTCCTGTCTTTATTAGCTAGTGCAGCAGCCAACTTTGAGTAGGAACATGAGATAGCATCACCAAGTAGAACTAGTATGATTATAAAGTTGAGGATATGTGAAACATGGGAATCTAAGAAAATGAGAGAGGTGTGCTTTGTTAAGTGAAATTTTAATGTGGAGTCCATCAGTGGTTTATGTGATAGGCCGTGATAGCTGTGTTTCTCTTCTGTTATCTCCTGTTGCTATTGCCTCCTTTGCTGACCACTGAGACTACAAGCTCTTCAGCTTTGGCTGTCTTTCTGTGTAAGAAGTGGTTTATTTCATAGATTTTTATGGCATGTTGACATTTACAATACCATCCCATTCATTTTTCCAGTGTATTGTGTCCATTGGGACTTACTTCCTTGTTTGAGTGCTTAGAATAGCAGCCTTAAGAGCTGTGCTGTTGTAGTTTTGTTTCAGTCCTAGACAGAATCGTAAATACTGGTAAACTTCCATTTATATACATAGTGTTTTGTATTCTCAGGCTCTTGCAGACCAATTTGAAGACAAGAAAACATCAATTTGTGAACGTATGAAACTATTTTACAGTTGCCAAGTTCCTCCACATTGGGCTATCCAGGTACAGAATAACTGGTGCATAATGTTTTAGTTAGAATTCACATTACATTTGATTTTTAAGCATTTAATTTTTGAAATGTCCCAGCTGAGATATTGCACTGGGGAAATGATTGCTTGTTTTGTTAACATGAAGAATGTTACAGATTTCTCTCCGTTTTAAATATATTTTCCCCAGCTTTTGATTTCTCCTCCAGTATTAAATTGTTTGTTAACAGTCTCTTCTCCCTCCCCAAACAAACATAATGATTTAGCTTAAAGAATAATACTTTCATAAATGTTCAATAAGTCATGATCCAGGAAAAAAATTAAACTGTCTCTCCACCCCCCTTTTAAACTGTCTTAACATATTATCAGTGGGGACACACATAACCACAAATTTAGAGCTTTAAAATCCAGCTTAATAGTTAAGATAATGTGGTCAAAAGACTGCTTTCAACTTCTAACTTAGATTTGCAATCTGTTTGTATTTCTCTGACACATTTTAACATTTTCCCCTAGGATTTTCCCCCTTTTAATTTTTTTTAACCTTCCAGTTCACAAAAAAACCAGTGTGGTTTTAATTTCTAGCTTTTCTGGCCAAACCAATATTCCAAGTCCTACTGAGAGGTATACTGGTGATTTATTATTTACAGTGGTTGCAATATTTTCTTAAGTAGCACTGCCCATTTCATACATTTCTCCCATACTTAACCTAAGAACTATTGCATGTAAATCATACCTATGTCAGGAATCGTAACTCCTCCAGCCTGGCCTTCTGTAGAATGCACGGTCACCTGAGGCCACAAGCTGCTTTCCTCTCTTTCACTCCCAGAAACCCGTGTAAAAGGAAACGGGAAGAGACTTGTGATGCATTTCTCATCAGTTCACGCTTAGGGGCTCTTTGGTTGCGTTCCAACATCTCACCCATTCTTTTGTTTGTTTCTATGTCCCTGAATCCTATTTGCTTTTCCTTGATCCTGGTTAAGTCCCCAGTCAACTTTGTTGCTTCTCAGTGTCAGCGGGAGGTAGGTTAAATGAAAGTGGCTGATCTACAAGGTAGTAGGTAACATGCTGATAGAATTCCCAGCAGTCAGTGTTACACCTTAACCCAACTGCATACGGAGAAGTGTCAGTATGACCCAGACTCAAGGCAGAGGAAGTCAACAATGGCCAGCCACAGTCTCAACTAGGAACAGTTGCTGGTCATCTGTGCAGCAACTTGGCTCTTAGGGACATTTCTCCATGCAGTTCCATTATCAAAGCACAGTCTAGAGGTGGGGAACCTGTGGCCCTACAGATGTTACTGAACTGTGCCTCCCATCATTCCTGGCAGTTGGCCATGCTGGCTGCAGCAGATGGGAGTTGTAGCCCACATCTGGTAGCTCCATCATCCCTGACCACTGGTCCTGCTAGCTAGGGATGATGGGTGTTGTAGTCCAAAAACAGCTGGAGACCAAAGTTTGGGAAACGCAGGTCTAGAGAAATACTGTAGAGGGGAGGGAGTTGCTGGCTGTGTTTATGATTTAGTTCTTAGTGAATTAAGATTGTAAGACCTGTGCCTAATCTCTGCTTGTGTTGATTTTAAAAGATTATCAGTGCTAACTCAGTAGATTTCTATGCTTGATTTCTTTAGCTATCATATATTATTTTTTATTTTTTAGAATTCCCATGCCCTTCTAAGCTCAACTTGAAACACTTTAAATTATTTTCCACCTTACATATATTATGCTAAATGGTTTTACTAGAGGGAAATTCTGGATTTGAATTTTTCAATATCTTCCTTTGCAGCGGCAGCTTGCAAGCTTACTATTTGACCTTGGATGTACCAGTTCAGCTCTGCAGATCTTTGAAAAGCTTGAAATGTGGGAGGATGTAGTTATCTGCTATGAAAGAGCAGGACAGCATGGAAAGGTAGAGTACATCTACTTATTTTCACTGTGTTTATACATAATGTACCCCAGAGTTGCATACATGCACAAGTACATGTACATCAGCGCCCTGCAGGAAGCAACTTCCTTTCACTGGAACATATGGTAAGGGTCATTATGAGAAGGAAAACTGTTTCCCATAAATTTTTATAAAATTATTCAGAACAGTATTTATGTACTACTACAAAGACTAATGTGATGGACTTGCATGAAAGGTCTTCCCTAGAATCCCAGAATTGAAAAGTACCAGAAGATCATGGAGTGCAACTACTAAGTTGAGCCAAGATCTGTACCACAATGTTCTTGTAAACAGAGAGCAGGAGTGAATGAGTGGGAGGCAATTCCAGATAGCTGAAGCAAATGAGCCAGGTCGGATGATATTTGTCATTGCGAAAACTCATTGTAAAAACTCTACAAAATGACAGAGAGGCGAAGGACTTCCTTCTGGTCTCTCTGATTAGAGGTTTGGGGGCTCCTGACTTTCTTGCCTGTGACCTTCTTTCTCTCATGCTTTCCTCTCCTCTTCCTTCCTCCCATGGTCCCAGGGCTACTGTTAAGATCCTCCTTAGAAATTGAAAGAGTGCTTAGTACCAAAGCCATCCATGTCTTCCCACTTCTGCAAGTATCCCCTTCCCACAGGGTCAAGTCTGGCATACAAAAGGAACTGGCTGAGGCGGCAAGGCTAATCTAACCTCCAACAACACAAGAATTGCCTATGAAAACAACAGAATGAGGTGGCAGAGAACTGAGGTGAAGAACTGAACAGGCCGTTCCATTTCAGACCACCACTGGTAGAGGGTAAAAATAAAAATAAAAAAATCCATGCCAATAATAAACTAGCACAAAGGGAGGGAGCTGTATTGCAATATGTCCCCTTCATGTATTTGCTGGCACCTTACATAGAAGAGCATTTTTAAAAATGGCACCCCAAGGGCTAGTTCATTCTTCCACCTCAGAATTCTGCAACCTCAATCTTGATGTCTACATCAGCCGTTTGTTCATAGAAAAAGACAAATGGGGAAATGCTGAAGGGAAAGAGAGTGGGTAAGATTGGGGATAAGAGTGGAAATGAAGTAGAGATCTTGCGCCTACAGGAACCTGCAGTGTTGGCGCAGGTTTGAAGAGTGCCTTGAAGCAGTCTCCTGGGCAGAAGGCTGAACGAAGTGGGAACTGAAAGGTGCCCTGTTATAGGAAAGGGGCTGCCTAATGGCTGTGATCTCATTAAGGACAGGACTGGAATGCAAGGGTCATTGCATGGCAAAGAATACCAGTAGTATGATGTCATTAAACACCACAGTATGAATCCCCACCAAGTTGTGTCTGGGAGATACACAAAGGATCTCTGACCAATCAGAACTTGCAGCCAGATAAATGAGGTGTGGGGAAAGGGTAAGGCATTTCCCAGGCAATTTAGGAATGATCCACTTACCCCACTGGAAGATGCTTGCTAAAAGGATACCCATTGCCTTAGTGCTTTTGTTGTTTTGTTGTTTAGTCATTTAGTCGTGTCCGACTCTTCGTGACCCCCTGGACCAGAGCACGCCAGGCACTCCTGTCTTCCACTGCCTCCCGCTGTTTGGTCAAACTCATGCTGGTTGCTTCAAGAACACTGTCCAACCATCTCGTCCTCTGTCGTCCCCTTCTCCTTGTGCCCTCAATCTTTCCCAACATCAGGGTCTTTTCCAGGGAGTCTTCTGTCCTCATGAGGTGGCCAAAGTATTGGAGCCTCAGCTTCAGGATCTGTCCTTCCAGTGAGCACTCAGGGCTGATTTCCTTCAGAATGGATAGGTTTGATCTTCTTGCAGTCTATGGGACTCTCAAGAGTCTCCTCCAGCACCATAATTCGAAAGCATCAATTCTTCGGCGATCAGCCTTCTTGATGGTCCAGCTCTCACTGGGAAAGCCTTAGCGCTTAATTAGTGCTAAATAAGGGTAACTGTCTGCACTAGATATGACAGAGGGACTAATTAAGCTTGGCCATATCGTCATTATGCACACTGGTTACTGCGAGGAAATTTTCCTGCACATCGACTACTATGGAAAGGTTATTTGGCAGGAATCACTAGAACTTTTCCTGATAGAAATATACTTAGCTTGAATGGCCACAGCTTCCTCTGATTGATTTTCAAGTGGTGTTTCACTTGCTGCTCACAGCAGAGCCAAAACAGACAAACATTTCTGGGATGCATGCAGAGTTCCAACTGAACCAAGCTTTCCTGTAACAAAGTTGTCTCTAATGCATGAATTCCGCAAACCTTTACACAGTGGCCCGCTAGCTTCTTAAGCACAATGTTTCTCTCACTGCCACTTTCCAACCAGCTAGTCTATACTGTGCTGAGTAGCACTTAGGGCATCTTGGAAACCCACTATGTTGCATTCTTAGTCTCTGGATTTTCTGTATGGGGGCAAAGAAGTCTGGGGAAACAGAACCTTAAAATTTATAGTTACAGGTAGGTAGCCGTGTTGGTCTGTCGTAGTCGAAACAAAATAAAACAAATCCTTCCAGTAGCACCTTAGAGACCAACTAAGTTTGTTATTGGTATGAGCTTTCGTGTGCATGCACACTTCTTCAGATACACAGAAGCTCATACCAATAACAAACTTAGTTGGTCTCTAAGGTGCTATTGGAAGGATTTGTTTAATTTTGCTTAAAATTTATGTTGATGTTGTTGCATGGATTTTAGCTCATCTCTCTTCACACACACACACACACACACACACACACACACACACCACATATGAGGAGGAGGTTGTCCATGAATTTTGGCCCAGAAATAGCAATCCTGCTCTGTAAAACATCACAGAAAAGCGTTTCTTAGTGTGAATTCCAAAAAAATGCATGAGCTTGGAAACCAGACAGGATGTTCTGGGGAAACCATCCAGTGTCTACATTTATTAATTGCCATCTGTATCCACATATTTGCTTCCCTAACAGCTGGATATGTAGACAGACTAGTGTGTATTTTAATTTTTCAGACATTGGGTCTCTCAGACATCTTGTTGGTTCTGTGTCTTGACAAATGTCCAGTATACCCAGCATACTGTGTCTAGTGTTTGCAATTTCTGATGCTCTAGAGAGCGTGTGTGTGTGGAGGGTCATTCTTTTATAAGCTAATAATTACATATTTTCATGAATTTTCTTACATCTTGTGTCACAAAGGCAATAGCAGTTCTTCAACAAAACTATTTAAAAAGAAGTTATACTTGCAGAGACTAGAACATTAGACACTGTTATGATTATCATTTTTCAGAAATACATATTCCACTATCTTCACTTCAACTTCCCCTGCCCATAGATATTTAGTTGCATAGATGCAGAGGCTGCAGTTAAACAATAGATTGAAGGATTTTGGATGGAAATCTCTAACAGTGCAATCCTAACCCTATATACTCAGAAATACCCTACTGGATTCAATGGGGCTTACTCCCAGGTAAATGGTATTAGGATTGCAGCCCAAACTTGTGATATAAATAATGTGGAAATTCTCCCATGCTTTGCATACTATTCTGAGTAAATATCTAAATCTGGTAATTACAAAATGAACAAGTATGTGTCTTGGTGCCAAATTCTGTTGGGCTCCTTGCTTGTGCCAGACCAATATGAGAATCCTATCAAGAATAAAAGTTTAGGCCAACATTTTCCATTTGTGTCAAGAGATAGGAAAACAGTATTTAGAGAGTGGATAAGGAAGGCATCTGGATTAAAATATTTCATAATTGGCAATTGCGTAATTTTTGAAAATACTTTCAACTAATTGTGCGATAAGACTTTAGAATGCTGGAAACAAGTCTTCAAGTTCTGTGTGAAACACAACTGGGAGCTCTTTATCTGTAAGCTTTAATTTGTGCTTAGAGGGACACGGGTGGCGCTGTGGTCTAAACCACAGAGACTAGGGCTTGCCGATCAGAAGCTCGGTGGTTCGAATCCCCGCAACGGGGTGAGCTCTCATTGCTTGGTCCCAGCTCCTGCCCACCTAGCAGTTTGAAAGCACCTCAAAGTGCAAGTAGATAAGCTGTACACTGGCTTCCTCGGCCAATAAAGCAAGATGAGCACCGCAACCCCAGAGTCATCTGCGACAGGACCTAACGGTCAGGGGCCCTTTTACCTTTAATTTGTGCTTAGTCAGAAGAGCTTTTTGAAATGAAGAGCTTCTGTTAAAGTTCATTATTTTCCTTTTAAAAATCAAACAGATAGTTATCACCATTATGTAAAGTTGTGATTCTTCTATAAATTGTTTTTTCAGCGGTCAGAGTAGTATTTTATTTTGTTTTTATTTGTTTTATTTATTAGTCACTTCTTTCAAAAATGAACTCAAAACAACTTATGAAAACAACTTTCTATAAAAAGCAGCATGTCACTAAGCAGGAAAAAAAACAAGAGGGAAATATTTGGATATGATCAGTACATGACCAGGGTAGGATTCCAGCATTGTTTCCTTGGAATAATTTGGTGGCCAGGAGATTACAAAAAGTCAGTAATGTATACATAGTAGGCAACATGCATTTATTACTGATACTGTTTGGTAGGGAGAAGGTAGGTACTTTGGGATCTGCTGGTGGACCTCTGGGTGATTTGCAGTAGATCAGCAAGGGTTTCTGACTTCCAATGGTTTAATAATAGCAACAGCAAAATTACTTTTTCCAAGTAAATTAGTCTTCTGAAATGAAGAAAGCTAAGCAGGAGTCAGCTTTTGTGTGAGAGGTCTCTGAGTTCAGCTCAGATCTGGTAACTGAAAACAATCGTGTCTTGAGCTGCACAGCAACCATCCAGTTAACATTCCTCAAAAGTAGATATTTATGATCAACCGTGGCATGGGTGTTAAAATCTTTTAGGAGCTTTCTCCTAATTGCCTCTCACAAGGAGGCATTAATTACTTCCTGGACTCTGCTTGTCATTCTAGTGCTGCTGAATATTAGAAGACAAAAAGGGCAAGGGTTATGCAAATGAGTGATAGCCTCACCCCACCAAGATCTCATCTACATCATCAGGCCTCCACGAGTGGAACTTGTTAAATAAAACAGGGCAAAACATTGTACTGGACACATCCAAAGACTTAACAGTAGAATTAGTGGCCTACGAGTTTAGGCAGATATGAGCAACTTTATCCCCCAAATGCCTAGCAAATAAGTTGCAACAGACTACTGGGACACTTCTTTACATCACTCTGCAGACCAAGCTAGAGAAGACCTTGAATAGTTTGGGGGGGGGGGGACTCCAATGGACACCACTGAGTAGATACGATGGTGACAAAGTAGTATTGTCACCTTGAGGTCATCACTACCACAGAGTAGGCTTGAAAATGAGGTCTTGTGTTTGCTTGGCTTAACTCAGTCTTGCATCATCTTTTGCTTGGAGTTGCCAGAGTTTGAAGCTAGGCGTATCACTGAACTGTACCCCTCCACTTCAGATAGGAAAAAGAATTCACTACAGATTTAGTCCAGGCCTGCTCAGAGGTACAATTTTGTGAACTAGAATGTTTAATATTACTGAATGGCTGGCCTGCATATCTAGCATACAGTACTAGGCACTACCACTCAGTGACCTGGATTTGAGAGAGTCTTATGCAAGGATGAGGAAAAGGAGCAGGTCGCTGTGCACTTTTCACCTCAGAGATGTTTATTCACACTGTAGACTGTTGCTCCAAAGAGAGGGGGGAAGAAAGAATTGCCTGGATCTTTAACTGCCTCACCGTGGCTGCTCTCTAACTCAAGCTGTTTCTTGTTCCTTTAGAAAAGTTATTGTGCAGCCTTAATAATTCTCGACAAGCAGGTTTTGCATGCCATTTTCACCTTTGATTTGATTCAGTCTTGTATTTTTCTTGCAAAACGTAACAAGTCCTCCCCCCCCCATGTGCATTGCTCTTGGTTGCAAAATATGTTTCAGAATGGACACAGTTCTGAAACCAACTCCCTAATGACAACAACTATTGCTTGAATTCAGTAGAACTTATAGGGAAGCAGGATATAGGCCCAGGTGCCAAATTGTATAGCAGAGGTTTTCAAACTTTTTGAGTCCACTGCTCCCTTGAACATCTACATTCTTTCTGCGGCACCCCTGTGAGGCTCAGGAGCCCAGTTGTGTCACCCCTTGCCTGCAGAGCTAGCAACCCCTCACCCCTTTTCGAACACCCTCCCTTGTGGAGTGTCCCCTCAGCCTCCTCTCCCCTCTTCTTGGGAGGCCTCTGGGAAGCCACCCCCACCCTCCACCCTAAAGAGAGCTGCCTCCCAGAGGCGCCATTCACCTGTGGAGCATATAGCCAAGGCTGCTGTACTAAATGGCTGTGCAAACCTTGGGGAGGCAGAGACACAAGAGGGCATCAGAGGAGGAAGGGAAGGGAAGAGGGATAGAGGCCAGTGTTGTCCACAGCACCCCTGACCATCATTCAAGGCACCCCGGAGTGCCATGGCACATTGGTTGACAACCCCTGTTGTATAGCATTCTGGATCAGAGGCGTGAGGGGTGGTCAGTGCCTTGGGGAACCCACTGAAGTCAGCCTGCCCAGGAGCCCTCAAAATCTGAAGCCAGTACTGCTAAAGAGTATTGTGTATGCTGACCTTTCTGACTCAAGTTCTTGTAGAAAATGAAAACAAAACACACACCTGTCCAGTATAGCCATTTCTGGGCTTCTGAAAGACTACTTTCTACCTCACACATCTGGCAGCTAACCAAGGCGAACCAAGTGATCCTCTCTCTGAAAGCGGTGTTAAAAATGGTGCTTTCTTTCCATAGGCAGAAGAAATTTTGAGGCGGGAGGTAGAGAAGAAAGAAACACCGAGTTTATATTGCTTGCTTGGGGATGTCCTTAAAGACCATTCTTACTACGACAAAGCTTGGGAACTGTCAAAGCACCGCAGTGCCCGGGCTCAGCGCTCCAAAGGCCTTCTCCACCTTCGCAACAGGAACTTCAAGGAATGTATAGAGTGCTTTGAGCAATCCGTGAAGATTAACCCCATGCAGGTAAGACAATAAGAACTTTTTACAATATATTTGTGTGCTGGCTTTTGAAGAATTACACAACTTTTAGAAGACATCTGAAGGCAGCCCTGTTTTCAATGCTTGATGCTTCGTTTTTAGATATGCTGTTAGGCACCCAGTGTAGCTGGGGAAACCCAACCAGATGGGCAGGGTAATAATAATAATAAATAATAATAAGCCCTAAAAGCCTTAGGACATGGTTACCTAAAAGACCACCTACTCCAATATGTACTTACCTAAACTTTAAAATCCTCTTCAGAGATCCTATTCTAGTTGGGCCCACCAAATGAAGCGAGGTGGGCAACCACCATGGATAGGACCTTTTCAGTATTAGCACCCTGGATATGGAATAGCCTTGCCAGGGAGGGTTGTCTGTCACCATATTTGTGGCCTGTTTAGATGACTTTGGTAACCTGGCTCTCTGTTTTTAATGCTCTGTTGTGTTTGCATAGGTTTTTTTTCCTTATTTATTTATTCATTTATTTAACCAAATTTATATATCACTTGAATGTCAGAACACCTTTAAGTGGCTTACAAAAATATAAAATGAAACATTAAAATTATCAATAAAAAGCAGTTAAAAACAGGTATTCAAATTTTTCAGAAGATTATTAAAATCACCAGTAGCTAAAAAGATTAATGCTTCTATGGTTTGCTTTGAATTTTGGTTATTTTGGACTTCTTTATTTAAACCACCCACAGAACTTCATGGCAGAAGTCATAAAATATAGTTTGTTGGAGCAAAGCAAACCGCAGTCTCTGGTCTGGATGTAATGCTGAGCTATGGATCCTGATTTGTTTCCTCCACATGCTAGTGGGGAGGAGACAGCCAGCCCAGCTTGGCACTTCATAGTAAACCGTTAACTGTGGTTTACTGTGACGTGTGAGCTGGGCCCGTTATGCAAGGTGATTCATTCAAAGCTACGTAAAGAGCAGAGTTGGTAACTAATAAAAATATTTTCCATCACTTTGAAGAAGTAGTGGTCTAATCATGAATTTATTTTTTTCAAGTACAGTATAGGCAAAACGTTTCATTCAGATATTCTCATTTGTGCAGCTGCCACCACCTAGTTTTCAGAGATCCCTGCCCCTTTTCATTGCAGCTTTCCATACCCACATCAGAGGCCTTCCCTGTTACTGGGATATCTCAGTCGGTAGAGCGTGAGACTCTTAATCTCAGGGTCATGGGTGTGAGCCACATATTTGACAAAAGATTCCTGCATTGCAGCGGGTTGGAGTAGATGACCCTTGTGGGTCCTTCTAACTATGATTCAGTCCTCCAGGAGAGGCTTCTTATGCAGCTATATTAGGAAGGATTGGGTAGGAAATCCATGCTGTGCAAACAGCCGTACATAATATTTTCATGCAACCCATGTTTGCATGTTTCTTCTGTTGGGGAAACCACTATTATGATGCATTGAAGGTCAGCAACTGAAAATTTGAGTTTGAAATTTACTTAATTAGACCCTAAACTAAAGGTTGAGGTGAAAAGGAGTGGCTGGGTTAAATGAGACGTCTATCATCATCACATTTGGGCCAATTCACTGCAAGTAGGCCGCTATCAAGTATTATGTTGCTGCTGTTTTGATGTTTGACTGTGTAATTGTTGCATTTTAAAGTGACTTTTTTTGTATTAATGCACCATTCACTGCTATGGGTCACTCTTTGATCAAAAAGTGGTATATAAATAAGCCATAATATAAAACAATTAATATTTCCACTTCCTTTGGGCATTTGTAATAAATGTGCTTAGTCTGGGCTCCATCATTATTTATTACATCCATTCATCATTTATTTTACATGAAAATGTGTCAAAGTGACTTAACAATGTAATAATAGAAATAACAAGATCTATTAAAACCAAACACAAGAACAAGAATAAAACAACAAACTGCCTTTGTACGGCTCCTTTTTTTCAAATGTGAGATGCATGTGCCAACATTTGCTTTGTTCTTCAGTGTAGTTCCAAAGTTAACACTTCAATCAAAGCAGCAGTTTCAAAAGCAGAATTAATTCTGACCTTTTCCCCCCACATCTGCACGTTGTAAGCTTGAATTCCTTCGCTTACATGATAAAGAGTTATTTGAAGAACTACTGACATGAACCCATTTAAGAGGTGTGATTCTAGTTTGTGTTAGCAAACTGCTTAGGCAGTGGAGAAGCAATATACTCATGAACCATACATAGAATATGGTATCTTAAACATGAAAGCCAAATAGAAATTCGTAGTGTGAGTACCCATTTGGCAAGTAGTGGCCCCAAGGATGCAAGGCATACCAAAACCAATCAAGAGATTGACAAAATGAGGCTACTAATTAGTACTTTTTCTCTGCAATCAGTAGTGCAAATATATAAGCCACTTTGGGGGGGGGGGGCGTTTAAAGTAGGAAGGTAGGAAACTTGTTCCAGGTGAAAATTTCCCTTGAAATGTTTCTCATGCTGTATTCCCTCTTGTTTGCAACTGCGGTTCAGGGAAATAGTTTGCTACCAGAAACATCCCCATGCATTTAGTGATTATTCAGAGCCTCAGGGTTTTTGGGGTTTTTTTTGCAGTCGTGAGTGATTTGCCAGATCCCATTCCAACCAACATAATTGCCTACGGAAGTCATGGTTTCTCTCACTCCAGCTTTTCTTTGCAATTATTTCACTGTTGGGCCCTCTAAAGGCCTCCATCTCCTACAAAGATGACTTAAACATACTTCCTGCAATTCAGTGGCAGTACCCTTTCTTCCTCGGAAAAATGTGTCTCTATAGAATCATTCCAATGCTGCCTCTAATTAGACAGAGGCACACACACACACACACAGAGGCCTCCCTTTGGCAGGAAAAACCCCCAATACTGCTTTATCTGGACTTTCAAATTTTAACGGCCTAAGATTACTCCATTCTGTATTTCATCATTGATACCGTTGAAAAATAGCTCTCTTCTGGCCTATGCAAAGATGCAGGCGCAGCCTAGCATATGGCGCTGTAGGGCCAGCTTACGAGTGGCACTGTTTCAGAGAGAAGCTCTCTGCAGTTGGGGGGGAAGCTGAACCTTTAAACACAATTCCCAGTTAAGATTTCATGGGAAACTATAATTTAAGAAACCGAGAGAGGCTGCTGCAGGAGGGGAAGAGGGACTAGGAGCTTGTAACCCAGCACACAAAACTTGGTTTGTTGGACCAGGTCAGCTGTGTCAGAAAGAGACCCTTTTGAAAGCAGAATGTGAGTTTAAGTAATTATTTCCCCTCCGGGACACCTGCTCTTCTTTTAAAAATCAATTTAATATGGTTTTATTATCTCTATGTGACAAAGTATTAATAATGAAACAATGAAGGGGATTATGGTGGGCTGGCAGTGGCAAAATGCTATTTCCGCACTGAACAGTCAGTGAATTTACAGAGTTAGTCAATGAATTTTACATAAATATGTCATTTACAAGATTTTTGTTGGAACTTATTCTTGGTTAGTTTTGCCACTACAACCTTCAGTTTCCACAGCAATCACATTTACAAGAAGAATGTTTTATACAAACTGGTGTCTCTGTGGATACATCTGCTTCTTCTCAGGGGCTATTTGCATCATCACGGCTGCATCCCCTTATTGCCCTGTCTGATGGTGGCATCACAGCCAAGAAGTGGCTGCTGTATCTTTGTCGAGTGTCCAACCTGCAAATTGACTCTTGAAGCTCCATCAGACCTATGGCTTTAGTTAGATAACTCCAAGAAAAGTGATGTGGCCTTTTGGACAAGAAAACATAACCAGTTTTCCAGGCAAACACTGCAATTGTTGTTTTGTTTTTGTATGCTCCCCCTTGCTGACCTTTCAGTTAGGTGTGTGGTTTTCCTTGGGCTGTGCCTACTTAGCTTTGGAAGATTATGAAGGTGCTGCCAGAGCATTTCAGCGCTGTGTGATATTGGAACCTGACGTAAGTACAATAAGTTTAAGGTAACATTGGTCTTGCTTTGATTCTGTTTAACAGTATTTTTTTAATCACTTTTCTGGGCAAGCCCATCCAATGTGAGTTGAATAATAAATAGACTGATCAATAAACAAGCCAGTAAAAACAAAATAAAACTATATAATCTAGCCTGTAAAACAATATCACACCTGGAAGGCTAATATAAAAATATACATTTGCAGTGCCTTCTGAAATCCATGCAACATGTTTACCCTAATACAGATCTGATGGGAAAGAATTGCAAAGCCATGGAGCCACCACAGAAAAAGACCATTCCCTTTCGGCTTTCTGTCATGGGAGGAGGATACTTAAGGAGGGAGTTAGTGCTGTTAGAGTGTGGGCCAGCAGTCCAGGAAAGCATTTGATTTAAAAGATATTGGTTATCATCGTCATGCTTTCGTAGACTAAGTTTTAAGCTTGTTTATTTAAAAATATTTTTATCTATGAGACGGCAACTACAACAATCCATTGCTGTGTTGGGTGCAGCTGCCACAACATGCAGGGATTGTCAGAGCAGCACAGAGCCCTGTTTCATTCCCCCTCTTCTCTTCCCCTGACTGAAACCATAGTTTAGTGTTACTAGAACAAGAGAAAGCAAGCCTCTGCTCAATTCTTCCCACCCACCCAGTGCAGCTGCGAAGAGGAGTTCCAAAGTCTTTCCTTGTGTTTTAGATTAACTATAGCTTGCCATGTTGCCTGGACCTGCCAAGCTGTGATTCATTTTAACTATGTCTTGTTGAAATGAGACAATGGCAAACCAAAGTTTAAGAAGCTGGCTTGTTTCTGCATCACATAGTTGAGATCACCCACAGTTTGTGGTGAGTGCTACTTCCAAATACCAGTTGCTGGAATCTACAAGAGGGGAGTGCGCTCTTGGTCCCCTGTTTTGCTTGCTGGTTTCTCACAGGCACCTGGTTGGTCACATTGAGAACAGGATGCTGGACTAGATGGGCCATTGACGTGACCCAACAGGCTATTCTTACGTTCTTATGGTTCAGGTGTAACACTAAACTGGTTAATCTAAAATAGAAGTGAAGGTTTCCAGCCTCCTCACAGCTGGTGGGTTGGTGGAGGGAGGACACAAAACCCATGGCTTGCTGTGGTTTATCCTCATTAATGTTAAACTGGGCAAAATCAGTAATTCAACATTGGAGCATTGCCCCAAATGAAATTATAATCATTCTCATTCTGAGAAAGTGTGTCAGGTCTAGGGCTGGGCAATATCAGCTTTTCAACGTTGCGGTGTATCACCAGCTAAACATCGCAGTTTAGCGATATACTGCGATGTTGAAAAAACAAGATGCATTAGCCTCTGCCCGCGAGACACTGGGTGAAACTGCTCCAGTTCTCACCTCAAGAGCTGAGGCGGTTTCACCCAGGCTTACAGGCTGACAACGCAGCTTGTTTGCACCACTCAGCTGGGGGAAGGGAACACTCCCCCCCACACACACCCAGTGATGCATCGGGGCTCCTTTAACTGCTTGCTGCGAAGAGCGGCAACACTCCTCAGTCAAGCAGTTTAAAGATGCAGAAAGAGGAACAAGCTGTATCAGCGCCTCGCTGATACAGCTTGTTTCTCCCTCTCCATCGTATGAGGGCAGAGTGGGATGGCGATTTCACTCAGCGATATATCTGTCCCTCTGCCAGCAGCACCCACTGTAGGAAGGAACTATTGACTTCCTCCAGCGGACGCTGCTAGTGAAGGGACTCAGGAGAGGTGGCAGTTTCACCAGCGATTATACCGCTGAGTGAAACCGACATCACAGTCTGCTCCTCATACCAGTCCTGGGTGATACATTGATATATCGCCCAGGCCTAGTCAGGTCTGCGCTCTTCTAATATCTCCCAAATTCTCAGACTATTTTTAAGGTTATTGTTCAATGTCCTGTCAAAATAATACCGCTTGGTATGCCACTGTTTCTACTGTTACACTAATTTTATACTGCAACAACCTAAAAAAAAATTCTTAAATATGGGCACTATCCTAAAACTTGCCATACTCCTAATGGCTATGAATCAAGCAAAAGTAAGCCCTTGAGTGGCATATGCTTTAAAATTCTCTCAAAATCAGCAGGTCTTTAAAACGTCTAACTCCAGCTCGATTATGCCTATTGATTGGTGCTATAATTTAACAGTCAAATTTATGAATGTCAAATATGTTGAGACACAAATCAGTGTTTTATGATAAAAACACAAATTCAGTGTGCTCTGTATTTAAATAGGTATCCTTACTCCTGTATGTTTGCTCTCTCCTTCATGCATTTGTTTTCCCCACAGAACGCGGAGGCTTGGAACAATTTATCAACTGCATATATCAGATTAAAACAGAAGTAAGTACATCAAAGGGATTAGTAACTGCTGCTTCCAAAGTAAACAGTGCTGGTTTCCTCCCTCTCCAGCTTTCCCCCCAATTCCTCCCAGCTCCTGGGCATGCTTCCCTCGTGATCCACTTTATGATCACCTCTAGGACAAGCCTCCCACCACGAGGGGCATTAGAAAGGTAGAGATATGATTGAAAAGCCTTTGAAAAGGAAAAGCAGCTGTTTAGATTCCTCCCCAAACCGGGTGTCGCAATATAGAATTTATTGCACAGGATACTGTTAATTACAAGTGCTGTACTGACTTCATCGTGCAAGGGAGGCCCTGCTCTGCATCCTGACCCTTTATACAAAAGAGCCCTGCGGAATCAAATGCCCACGCTTTTCTGTATTGTGGATCCCCATGCTACAGAGTGCTGTATCTATGGGGTGCATATCCCCTCCCACTGACCCACCTGGCTTTTCCAAAAAGTGTTTCAGTATTCTTAATAATTGTAATGTCATTAACTGTGGAATTTTTAGCCGGCTGTTTTTATTACTTGTTAGTTGCAGGGCTTATTGGCTTTTGGTCAGTTTCAGGTGGTGTGCAAATGGCAGAGAATGGGGCATATAAATATTTATGTACATAACTGCATTCTTACTTTAAAAAAAAAGCAAGCTGGCATCTAAATCTGATTTCAGTCCCTTTGGAAAAAATATATAGCTAAGGATGCCTATTGCAGTCACATAATCAAGGGGGAAGTTGGCAGTTTTAGTACTAGCCTCATGGTAGCAGATGGTATCAACCTGCATAATAAGCCACTTGTTTTCTGCTCCCTAGAAGAAGCCATTAATAAATCTTGTGAAGGGACCCAATTTCTTAGTTCTGTATGCTTGCTCAGTTTATGTAATGATGTCTGGAGTAGATACCTTTTTGATAATGCAGTTCTTTCAGAAGTTCGGTATCATAAGTAAGTTGTCAAGATAATTTTTTGGTTGCTCAGGCTGTGTCCCATTAATCATCTACCAAAAAGAATGCAACTTAAAAAGGCAAGGGAGAAAAATGAGAGTTAAAAAAAATAATGCTTGATTCCTCTCTCTCTCCCCCCCCACCTCACCCCCTTGCACCCCCTTGTGAACAATTTAAAATGAGAAAATGAACAGGGAGTTCACAAAGTTGTGGACACAGGAAACAAATTGCCAAGAAAGTGCATTGAACCAAAAGCCATAAATAAGTTCAAGAGGCCCTTAGACATATTTATGGAACATACAGACTGAAAGATGTAGTTGCTACGGAGACTGCAAGGAACAAAAAAAATAGATGTAAAGAGATACAAATGTTTGTTCAAGTGTCCTTTTCAGACAAATGTCATTTTCAGCAACTTTCAGAGTATGTAGAAGTATCCCCGAGAAACTTTATAGCCAATTACCTAAATAAAGAAAATCAGACTAGAACATTTATTAGATTAGAACTTCTTAATCTCTCTGTGGAGGCTACATAGGTTTCTAAGGTGGCTCATTTTTAAGTCAGCAAGTAAATTTTATTTTATCCAGAGAGTGATTAATCTGATCCCTTTGTTCTCCCATTCACATGTCATTGTGCAATTTCTGGACTCTTTATGTACCTGTATTGTTCCCTTAACTGAAATGACATCCCCATCTTGCGTCTCTTATCTCTTCTCATAACTTAGCTCACAGAGCAAGAGCTGTGGTGAAATTTCACCTGGCAGAGATTTGCACAAAAAATGGTGTTCCATATTTAACGCTTGATCAGTTTCTGTCATTGAAAGCTACTATTTAATTTCTCATCCCCTCAACAAAATCAAGATGACTTGCCATTTAATCAAGACTTACAAAATACAGTGTAAGAAGTAAGAGGGGAACTGTCTAGGCCAGGGGTAGGCAACCTAAGGCCCGGGGCTTGGATCTGGCCCAATCGCCTTCTCAGTCCAGCCCACGGGCAGTCCTGGAATCAGCGTGTTTTTACACAAGTAGAATATGTCCTTTTATTTAAAATGCATCTCTGGGTTGTTTGTGGGGCATAGGAATTCGTTCATTTTTTATTTTATTTTTCAAAACATAGTGCGGCCCACCACATGGTCTGAGGGACAGTGGACCGGCCCACAGCTGAAAAAGGTTGCTGACCCCTGGTCTATGCCAATGGGATTAAAATAACATGGAGAATTTTTAACATTCTAACAGCGCAGTTAAGAATAGTAGGTGGCAAATAGCAAATCTGTGAGTACTATAGTTTAACAATGTCAAAACCTTTTGTTTTTCATCCTGGCTGAGAGAAGCACACATATTCATCTTTAAACAAGCAGCATTCTCTGCTTGTTTATCTGCTTTAGCCTATTTGTAAAGGAGAAGTGTAGTAATCTTCCATAAATTCTAGACTAGCAGGTATTTCACAGAAAAATAACAAAATGGATTGTCTTATATGTGTATGGTTTACCACCTGGTATAATAGATTTCAAGGTGGGGGGAATACAGCAAAAGAATTGTCGGAAAGCCATTTTTACTACATTCAAATGCTGTCACTGGAAAATCTAGAACCCCTCCCAGCATCGTGGAGCAGTCTCTCTCCTGCAATGTCGTGCCCTGGATGCAAATGATACAATAATGTGGATTGTTCCTTTGCAATTGGCAGCCTCTTTTGCAGACAGGTGCTGCACTCAGCTGTATGGGATCACACAACAGGGAAGCATCTCTCATGTCACTGTGATTATGTGTGATGGGGAGCCCTGCCAACAGATAACAGCAATAAAGGTTATGGCATGAAGCATGCTGGTATAAAGGGAAAGGGATCATCCATCTCTTGTCAAATCAGAAAAGCAACTCTTAAGATTGTGGTCTTCTTTGTATATACAATTTTTAAAATGCTAAACCTTCTAAAGAAGTGAATAAGGCTGAGGGGGGGATTGAATGGCAAAGCAAAAATCCTTGTGTGTTTTAACTTATTTAATTTTGAACCAGAATTAAAGCATTCCGGACCCTTCAGGAAGCTCTCAAGTGTAATTATGAGCACTGGCAGATTTGGGAAAATTACATTCTCACCAGTACAGACGTTGGAGAGTTTTCAGAAGCTATTAAAGCTTATCACAGGCTTATGGACTTACAAGAAAAGTATAAAGATGTCCAGGTGGGTTGTGTCTCTTTTTATTCAAGTGTCCAGTTTTAAAGATTTCAAACATGGTTCATGAAAACAGGTCATACTCAGGACAGCGATTAAAGAGCCTCCCATCTTATAGTGAAGTTGTAGGGTACCTCTGTTTCTTCTATAAAAATGTCAAGCCAAATCAAGACTTAAATGGAAGTTGCACATTCAGTCCATCCCCGACCATGATGGCATTCAGTGAGAATGCCTTCTACTATGAGCCCAGCAGCTTTTGCAGTAGAACAGGGGCAGTAGAAGAAGAAGGGTTTGGATTTGATATCCGGCTTTATCACCACCCTAAGGAGTCTCAAAGCGGCTAACGCTCTCCTTTCCCTTCCTCCCCCACAACAAACACTCTGTGAGGTGAGTGAGGCTGAGAGACTTCAGAGAAGGTTGACTAGCCCAAGGTCACCCAGCAGCTGCATGTGGAGGAGCGGAGACACAAACCCGGTTCACCAGATTACAAGACTACCGCTCTTAACCACTACACCACACTGGCTCCCAGTAGCCAACTTGGTGCTCTCCAGATGCTAGAGTGCAGCTCATATTAGCTCCAACCAGCATAGCCAGTTGTTGGTGATTATGGGAGTTTTAGTTCATGGAAACATGAGAGCTTAAGGAGAAAATTCTGTCCTTGTGGAGGAAACCATGGCAATTTAGCCTTTACAGTGTCCTTCTCTGTACACTGAGAAATCAGTGGTAGACTGTGCGACAGGGGACAATATTACGATGGAACATGATGATACCAGTGGACATTCCCTGCCTTAGAATAATGTTTTTGTCCTACTGCTCAGCCTGAATTCCTGGGCAGTGTCAGTGGATGTTTTAGCCTTTAGCATGCATTTAGGAATGTTATCTGAATGAAGAAACTGGGATTTTCCTTTTTTAAAAATTCATTCAGGAGCAGTGAAACTTCAAAATCAGTGGGAGTGATAAAAATCTGCTGTTGGATTTTCAGAAGTTCAGGCTTGTGGGCACAGTCTAATGGTCTTTTCCCACAAAATAAATTAGATGTGGATTGTTTCCTTCCTCAACAGATTCCTTGCTGCTGTATTCACTAGTTGCTCTTTCAGATGGTAGCTGCATGTAGCTGACTATCTCAGTTGTCCGATAAATAAGGGTTTTTCCCCCTAGAAATATTAGGTGCCAGTACTCACCATGAAGTTGTTACAATAAGTGCCACACTGTTTACACAGTAATCGTACCTTTGTTGTTATTCTCGAGTACCCCTTGATAAAAACACATTTTTTAAAGCATCTCCTTGTGGCTGGCTGTTATTTGTGTAAAATGTGCTACATCAAAATGTATGCAACAAAGCAAAATCACAGGCAGGCATGGATGCCCACAGGATTTCCTGGGCCTGGTACATTGCATATGGATAGCCCCCCCTCAAGCAATCTACTGGCGATAACTGCTGAGGATGTAAATATGTTAGTTTAGCCTAGCCTACCACACCAGGCTGCCACTGTTATGATTATTTATTGGATTTCTTACCCATGCTTCCCCGTAGGGTCCCAGGGTGGGTTGCAACAATTTAAAAATTATTAAAAACAGTATTAAAACAAATAACAGTTAAAGGAATAGAGTGGATTCCATTGCAATGATAAAAGGGGGTGGGGATAATGTGTGCAACCTTGAGCTCCTGGGTGGAGAAGCAAGAAACAGCCCACAGTCCTGATATTTACAGCACTGCTGTTGCCTACCGAGTGTTGAAGCCTTTGTGTTTTGTGCTCTTTCTGTAGAAATGTCTAATTGAATTACATTTTCTTTTTCCAAAAAAAAGAGGGAAAGGAAGCTAAGAATCGGGGGGCCCTGCTGGCTCATGGTTCAGTACCTGTTGGCAGCCCTGGGTGCAGGTTTTACTACTGCAGATAGCTACTGTCCTGCATTTGTGGCGTGGGATTTTATTCAGTGCAATTTGCTACTTCTGTCAACTTCAGCATTTACACCATATATGCCAAACATTTTTTGGCAAGAGCTAACTCACAGTTCGAACACGGGTGGCGCTGTGGGTTAAACCACAGAGCCTAGGACTTGCCAATCAGAAGGTCGGCGGTTCGAATCCCCGCAACGGCGTGAGCTCCCGTTGCTCGGTCCCTGCTCCTGCCAACCTAGCAGTTTGAACGCACGTCAAAGTGCAAGTAGATAAATAGGTACCGCTTCAGTGGGAAGGTAAATGGCGTTTCCATGCACTGCTCTGGTTCACCAGAAGCGGCTTAGTCATGCTGGCCACATGACCCGGAAGCTGTACGCCGGCTCCCTCGGCCAATAAAGTGAGATGAGCGCCGCAACCCCAGAGTTGGCCACGACTGGACCTAATGGTCAGGGGTCCCTTTGCCTTTACCTTTTTAAGTCACAGTTCACAATAATCACCTTTGACCATGGGAGTAAGGAGGATCAGACACTACTTTAGCAATGCTAATTGCCCTCTGTTTCACTGTTAAAGCTCAGCCGTTGCTGTTGCTCTAATGCTGGCTTGCTAAGAATGACAGAAGCATCAAATGCATTGTGGCTTTTTTAAGCAGTCTGCTTCACTCTACAGTGCACAGCTCAATTTTATTTGTTTCTTGAGCAGGATATACATATGTGTTCAAAACAGGAGTTAATGGAAGACAGACACCAGCAGAGAAAACCCCACCATGTCATCTTTTGTCAGCACATAAACTCAGAGATAAGCAGTAAGGTTGATTCTTTATTCAGAGAGAAAAAACCTAAGAGAGAACTCCACGGACAGGACTACCCCAAGGAGGCAGTCGCCAGAACTGAGGACCTGAGCCTTCCCAGCAGTCGCGAACTCCTTCAAGGAGGGGTTCTCTGTGCCTTTTGTCCTGCTACATGTAGCACCCCCTAGGCATTCAAAATCTTGGGGCACCTCTCGTGCGCATGCTCTAGTGGGATTACATTGAACTATGAAAGCTAGATTGCAGTTTTCTTTCAAGATCCAATCAGTGTTACTTTGATCCATTTTTGCAGGGCCCCTAAAAGTCGTGGGGCCCACAGACCGATGCCTGTTCGGTAATCCAGCACTGTTTCCTCAGTTGCAGACTCCCACCATTCCTCCTCATCTAGCCAGATCCTGATCTCTTTCTGTCCGGAATCCTTTCTACTGGAAAGGCAAAAGCAAAACTTTTTCTGTCCCTTCAATTTCAGAAATAGATTTCAGAGCCTGAGGAGGAAGCAGAATTAATAGGTTCAAGGAGACACCTGTACCTGCTAATGGCCATTTCCTTGTTTTTAAGCCGTAACATCGGGAGCCATTTACAGCGTGGTACTCTGTAGACTGATGGCTTATCATGTGAGAACTGATCTCGAAAACCATTTCCCCCTCGTGAAGCCTGTCAGCTTTGCTGAGCATCAAGGTAGCCTGGGAAACATGTTTTGACAGGCTGAAATTTTATATCAAAGGGGCTTTGTAACTGTACAGTGATAACTAGTAACAGCTCAGATGTTTGGAAATACGGGGTTTAGGTTTCGACAAAGTCATCGTGGGCACAAAAATATCTAGGAAGGTTATGGGGGAAGAACAGCAAACCGGCTTCACTGGTGTGTTGTTTGATCCTCTGTAATGATCCTATGACCTCTAAGAGACATGCATAAAAATTGAATGTACTTGCATGAATGCATAACTTTATTTGATGCACTTGATGATTAAGTTATCTGGAAAAATGTAATATAACTTACAACATTGATTTTGTAACCTACTGATAATAAATTTGACAACTTAAGAACAAGTTTCTTAGCTGCTGGATATAGCACCAGTAAATGGCAAAGTCATTCAGAAGTGTTTAAATTCTATTAGTTTTTCAAGAACTCATTATATTCCAAGAAAATAAGTTGCTAGCATTCTTAAACAAGTATGGTGTCTCTGCATCTATGGTACATAGGAAAGCTACATTACATTTTTAGTAGATTAATTCCATAAAATAATCCTATACATTTGCATGGGAATAAACCCCATTAAGAACAATGGGACTTAACAACTAAATGAATATGTATAGGATCCCACTGCTTATATGCATTTCCAGTACCTCCAACATGTGTTTTTCCAAACCTTACTAAATGCCTTTGATTCCTCTGGAGAATATTCAGGTCCTTTTATTAATATTGACTACCAGATACAGATGTAGTTAGTGTTGTCAGAATTTCCCATGTGTCCTTAAAGGGATTTTCTATCTTAAAGGGATTTTCTGTTTTACAGATTAAAAGTGTTGTGTAAATTTGGGCAGTAAGGCTCTCTGTCTTCTGGTTAGATTATAGTTTTAAGTAGTGCCCAATTATGTAATATAGAACCCTTATTCAAATTTTGGAGAAGAAGCTTTTGTAGAATTGCTGTTACCACTGGGGAACATTGTTTTTCTTTTTCCTTGCTATCTTTATCTCTTGAACAGCTTATTGTTTGTGGAATGTTCTCCCCTGGGAGGTCTGGCTGCTGCCTTCATTATATACCTTTAGGCACCAGGAGAAAAGGGAATCAGGATTATTGGTTCTGTGGGTTTGGGGTTTTTTATGCATCTTGTGTTTTTATCTTGTCTTTTTTATGTTGTGAACCACCCTGAGATCTGTGGATGAAGGGTGGCATACAAATTTAATAAATAAATAACATAAAAATAATTCAGACTCCTACAAATTATGTTATTGTATAAGAACTGATTGTAAAAAAAACCAAAACCAAAATCAAAGCAGCTGTTGAACTCACACGTTGCACACATTCACTAATTCGCCTCGTAGTGTTAGTCCAATTATAACCAAAATTTTCTTCTCTCAAAGGTGCTAAAGATTCTAGTAAAAGTAGTTATGGATGGAGTGACCGATCGTAATGGAGAAACTGCAACAGGGTTGAAGGGGAAACTGCAGGGACTCTTTGGCAGAGTGACTTCTAGAGTGACAAGTGATGGAGAAATCTGGAGACTATATGCAAGACTCTATGGGAATGGGCAGAGTGATAACCATGAAGATACAGAGAAGGTAAGTGCTAATGGTAAGAGTGTGATTTTAAATTAGTAATGATACAGGAAATTTACTCTCTACCCAAATTTTGGTATTAGGATCATGATGCTTGGTTTGTGACTGTTTGGTTTACCCAGCTCACAAAATAATAAAAAAAAGATTGTAAAGGTTAAGCCAATTTCACTTATCGTCGGTACTTCTGTCTTTGACAAGCTGATCAGCAAATCAAGCTTACCTTGATAAAGAAGAAAAAGAACAAAACAGGCCATTAAAGGGAGGGAGGATAATGCAGAATGTTCAGGCTGCAGCACTGGAATAAGAAAGATTAACACCCAAGACAGGTGAAATGTTGTTTTTCATCATTCTTATTGTGAGAATGCACTTAAGAAATAGGTCAAGTTTAAGGATACAATCCACAGAAGGTTACCTCTGTTCAATTCACTCTTAAGCATATGTATCTGTCTCAGAATTGTGTTCTGTATATTTAATGTGCATAATCCAGAGCGGGGCACTAAAAGGTTATTTTAAGCAATATGACTTTTCTAAATGGATTTGCACCTTTCAGTTTTTCTACGGAATTCAGGTGGCTAAAGCATTATCTGAAGGCAGCAGCACTCAGGGGAAAATAATGTTCTCAGTCATCAAACTATTACAACCTAGTGCCATGTAACTGTGTACTGCAGCCCTGGGATCACCTATTAAGCTGTTCTGCAAGGTCAGCCTGCTCCTTCAACACCACCTGCTGACAGATAAATATTGCTCTTCAGGTGGGAGTAAGTGTGGCATCTCCCTTGCAAACACATGGAGAAGCTGGAATCAAACATATAGATGAACTGTGAAGTGGGAGAGCAAGGAGAGAGCTAACAGGCATATAGGGAAAAGTAACAAAGATAAGGAGAGGAGAGGTTTGTGAATCTGCCAGAGAGAAGGAGGGAGGGAAGGAAGGAGAAGCTTGGCGGAATGCAGAAAAGGAAAAGGAGAAGCAGCAAGATTAGAAAAACTAGCTGGAAAGGAAAAAGAGTGAGGGAGACTGACATGAGATTAGTCAGGAAGAATCAAAAAGACAAGATAAAGGGATTTGTGCATTTCTTACAGTGCTGCTGCTATTGGATTGCATATCAACTATGTCTTTGAACTATGTCTAACCTTCCCTTGTTTTGGCTTTTTTATTTTATTTTTAAAAGATAGATTTTTTACTTTCTCAGAAAAAGAGTTTTCATACAACAGGTCTTGTTTTCTTCACCCACTTTCTACCAGGAGATGCAAGTTCAGTTTTCTCAGCTTTGCATCCCCTGTGAGTAGATGCTGCTGGAAATTCTCATTACCCTGGTTCTTGTGCGCATTGCCTGCTCAGTGAGAGAGACAGAATTCCCCTTTATAATGCCAGGGATGTTACACCTTGACATGTAATAGCAGAAGCTAGTAAACAGCATTCCTGAAACGAGTCATCTAGAAATTAAGTATATTCCTGGGGGACCTTCTGTCCTGCCTACTTTAGTACCATTTTCTGATTATAAAATTGTTATTGCACCCAGGAAATGGAGTGAGAGCATTTGAGGTCTGAAGCTAAGCAGGGGTTTGGGAGGGGGGCTGGGGAGGGGAGGCTTAACCCTTCCCAGCTTCACCTGCCCCCCAAAAAACAACAACAACCTCTTCCTGCAATTAGCCTTGGGGGAAAATCTGTTGGCTTTTTTCAAGCTTTGCTGTTGCAGAGGGCAGGGAAAAGTGATCTTCCTTGAGACTGCAGCTAGGAAGGGAGGGTTAACTCTGCCCTCTATCTCTATTTTCCAGAAGATCACACACACACACACACACACACACCACAAAAAGCATAAATCAATCAATCAATCAATCAATCAATCCAGGTGCTTGCAAATGTGCCCACAGGCCCCAAAAGGTTGTTGAAATCTTCTGGGTATTTAGAGAATCTAAAGAAAGCTTTAAAATCTGCCACATAGTCACAAAGCTTCTAAACTACATGGAGACTCTGGGGGGAAACTAACAATGAATTGGGTATTGGAAATAACAGAAAACATCACATGGGCACAATCAAAAAGATAGAAACTCCATAGAATTCTAATGGTAAGACAGTAAAATACAATATAAATAAAAAAGCAGTAAAAATACAATTAAAAATCGCAGATCATCAAGCATAGTGCATTCCAGTTTCTACAACAGGCAGAAAAATAACTGTGGTCCACAAAGATCCTTAACCATTTACAGATGACCAATGTGAAAAATGGTTTAGGAACCACTGCACCAGCATGTCTTAATACCCGAGAACCATGTTTGTAGGCCCATAGTAATAGAGCCAGTTTTTGGGGTAAGAGAATATAGAGAAGTCATCAGGACTTACATCTTTTGTCCCCTGTGCCAACACATTATAATACAAAAGAAACATTTTCCAGTAGCGGTGCTTGCTGTTTTCATTTTGCTATAGAAAACTGGAAGAACTACAAGCAAGCATTTCATCTTTGTGCTGTAGCCAAGGTTATGAGATGTGTGATTCAGCTATTAAATCAAAGCAAACTCCCGGTGGCAATTTTTCAAGGAGCCACATAGTGTGAAAGAAGCATCAAACTCTGAATATAAAATGAATACTTCCAGCTTTCAAAACATGGTAGAATATTGTGACGGAAAGATCTTGCTAAATTATCCTGACCCATTTTCCTGTAAGAGCTTGCTCCCTTGAGAGTGTTACCAGAAATTTCTTCATTTAGGTTAGGTGTGTCTGTGTTTAAATGTTAGCAACGTGCCCTATACAGCCTCTCTTTTTCTATGAAGCAGCATAGCATGCAACCTAAACTGTAACCATAATAAAGATTTTCCTGGTATTTGCCTTAGTTTCCTTTGTTGGTTTTGTCCAGGAGCAGATCCAGTTGGGTGCCAAAATGCAAATAGCCACCAACACTCTGTCTCTCCCTCCTTTATCTTTTTTTTCCATATTGCCCAAATGTAATGCTGGTTGGCAGGGACATTATTAGCATTATATATTTTTTAAACAGTTAATGTGTTTTTAAGTAACACAATTCTGTACCTTCTGATTACTTATTCTGCCCTTAACTCATCGTATTCCATACTGCTATGGTATCTTCAATAATCTTCTCAGTACTCAAGCATGCCAACTAATTCTCCCCACCACCACATGGAATCCTCCATGGTGCTTTGCAAAGGCAGGAATCTACCTGGGATAGTTGGTAGAGCAGGAAACTCTTAATCTCAGGGTGGTGGATTTGAACCAAACATTGGGCAAAAAGATTCATGCATTGCAGGGGATTTGACTAGATGATCCTCATGGTCCCTTCCAACTCTACAATTCTATGATCCTATACTGACCATTCCAATTAACATTTCCCAGGAGTCAAAACCACTTTGCTTCACTTTGTATTCTGCAGCCCAGGAAACACCTGTAACCATTCTATCCCTTTAAAGTTCTAGTTTAGCTCTACGACCCAGTAATTTGCTTGACATTTGAATGCCACAGTATGCTTCTTTGTTTTAATATTTGATCAAAGGTGAAATAATGTAAAATGCTGGTATGAATCATTCTCAGTTGTGTTATTTTGTGTAATTTATGTGCAATTATAGCTCCATTCAAATAGTGATTCCCCACCCTACAAAGTGCCAGCCTCAAATACTGATGACACTGAAATCAGCAGGTAATAAACTTAATAGTCTTCCTCTGTTGACTTAAGAAAGGCTAGAGAAAGACTGAAGTACAGAGAGACTGAAGAGGCTAGCTTCTGGCAAAATAAAAACGAAACTGCCATTGTTTGTGATTTTCTGTCCCTAGCATCTCAGAGGTGGAAAACTACACTTTCAAATGTAAGTTCTGATTACAAAACTAGTTTTAGGAGATGTGGCTGTATATGGTCATCTCCCCCACCCACATTTCCACCTCCCCTTTGTCAGAGAGAAGTGATGAGGACAAGAGTGGTATCACACACTATTTCATACCTAAAATTGAACTGGTGTTGCACTCTACGAAGGGTTTTCACCGTAGAAAGCATTGTCTCTCCAATGTTTTGTATGTTTCAAGGCCCACATGAATCTCTCGGTGCATCGACAGAGATGTGAGCTTAACTCAGTTTTCCTGCCAAAAAGTACCCAAAGCAAATACTAACACCATAAAATGATATAGAACCCTAGCGGCATTAACATATTCAAAATGTCTGATATAGCAACTTACTAAAGTTGAAAAGGAGAGTAGGCTCTTCACAAGAAAAGTGATTCCATAAATGCAGCACTCTATCACAAAGAGAGCAAGTAATTTCACATCATGCACACACAAAAAATGAGACAGATATTTGTTGTGTATCCTAATTATAAAACTATATCAATAATTAACTGTATCAAGAAATCCATATGAATGGGGGGAGGCGTGTGAAGGTGGAAGTTGTCTTGCAATTTTGTGTTCCATAGATTTATAAATGAACTCCTAGCATTAAATAAATATATTTGGTTCCCTTTCTTCCTTATTTCGTTTGATATTCACATTTAGTTAGAAATGCTATATCACAAGTCTGTTTTTCTATCGCATTAGTCGTACCTTGGATCCCGAACGCCTTGGTACTCAGTCGTTTTGGCTCCCGAACACTGCAAACCCAGAAGTGAGTGTTCTGGTTTGCGAACGTTCTTTGGAACCCAAATGTCCAACAGGGCTTCCAATTGGCTACAGGAGCTTTCTGCAGCCAATCAGAAGCTGCGCTTTGGTTTCCAAATGTTTTGGAAGTCGAACAGACTTCTGGAACAGATTCTGTTTGACTTCCAAGGTACGACTGTACAATACATCAACAGACTTCAAAGATTTCCTGTTGCTAGCAATGGCTTGCCTGGCTGCTTCACGCTTAGGCTTAGCCAAGAGAAAGGCATTCTCTGTTATCGCAAAATAGGGTTCCTTAAAAGATGGCAAGCAAAACAGAACCCCCTTTGCAGATCTTTATTAGTGGGACGGTGAATTCATGTGGATTAGGTGTGCTTGACTTGGCTTGTTCTGAAGAAAGAAAATAAAAAATAGCATATGGAAGCAAGTCTTGGTACATAGCAATTGTGTGGTCTCTCCAACTAGCCCCAGGTGAGAACCAAACAGCCACCTTTTGGGTCACCTCACAAAGCAAAGATCTCTCATTGGTGTTTGTTGGAGAATAAAGCCAATTCTTTCAACTCTTCCATTAAGACTTAAGTGCTTAGGTTTTTTTGCTTTAAAAAAGGGTAAGTAAACATTTGGATTGGGGGGGGGGCTTTCCTAACACTTGTTTTTGCTGTGGCTCATTTGCTTCTGTTTAGGTTTGGGCAATTGCTTTTTATTTTCTCCGTTTTGCAGAATCCATGTCTTCTTGCTTTTTTCCACATTGGGGAACCAATACAGAATAAAACTGGCATCTTAATCTTTGTATATATTTGAGCAATTTATTGCATTCCTTAGATGCATAATGGCTTAAAATATTAAAATACAAGTGTTTTCCTGCTTTCATGTGCATTTAGTCACTGTGACCTAGCAAAATATGGGTCACATCCATCAGTCTAGACAGATTTTTTTTTAAAGGTAAAAAATTATATTTTAAACACGTGTTACTTATATGTCTGTCATACTTGAAAGGCAATAACAGCGAAAAACATCTGTGCTACAGCTGCAGAATACAGTTGCAGGGGAGGAAGACTGAAAAACTAATACTGAGAAACTAACATATTACCAATCAGACCTATTTTTTTAGAGTGACTTTGGCTTTACGTATTAACATAAAGCCAAACTAAGGTTGTTTTCTAATTTCACTCTTCTGTCTTTACAGGTGCTACAGTATCTCAGCAAAGCACACAAATGTGAAATGCAGTCAAAGGACTGGGACAAAGATATTTTCTCTTTTAAGAACGTAGTAAAAGGAGCTTTAGAGCTTGCACATGGTATGTCCTGTATGAATTTTTTGGCAGAAATCATTATTGGTGGGTTACTTTAAAAGGTTCATTTGGCTGTAACATGCCACACTTGCTAACACTTAAAAACAAAAACCCAGAAAAACAGAGCTGCCTTAGTTCTAAAGTAGGGAAAAGGATGTTCAGGAGAGATTGTGTTAAATGACCAAGTCACTTTCCGTTTCCAGAGATCAATGTGACGTCTCAACAGGACCACCAGTCATACATGCAGAAAATTCCCTCAGAAATCCATCTGGATCCGCAAGGATCTGAGGCAGATCATTTTAATCAGCCCCTCACTGTACAGAAGCTCTTTCAAACACACAAGCGGGACTGGTGTGAGTGTGCCTGCCAAGGGCACAGCAAAGTACAGCCCTGCTTGGCACTGGGAGACAGGGCGGTGCGGGCTCCGTTCACGCTCTGCCCCTGGAGTGGCATTCATGTGGCCGAAAAGCAGGGTATAAATCCCTTAAATCAGTATGTCGCTGACATTCAGCACTTGTATCAGCCAATATTTTCATTCCAATTCATTTGTCCAAAATGGACAAGTTATAGGGCAACTTTAGATAAGCCCAAGGTTAGCACTAAGTACAACAAATTATTTGGGGGAGAACCCTCAAAGGGAGGAATCGTTCCCCTCACTACCAAAAAAAAAAGTCAATGAGGGCCCAGTGTCCATGGAATACTATAACTGTGAGGCTGGAGAAAAACACAGAGATATTATAATGACACACATTCAGTTATGGGCAGTCTCCCCTCCCCCCACACCATTTTGCTTCAAGATCTCACTTACTCATTTATGAAATTCAGAAGTGCGTCGCCAAAACAGAGCCCTCTGCATGCAAGGAGGAGAAGATATCAGAAGTACAGAAAAGCTTTAGGGAAAATTCCTAAGAGGAAGAACTAACTGGGGTTGAAGAGGTGGAGTGGAATGAAGTAGCAGGAAAGAGGGTGGGATTTCAGCAGCACTCCACGCAGCAATATTTTGTTACGGTATTTTATTCTCGTTTTACAGAAACAATGCTGCGTTGTTTCAGTGATTCATGTTGCGGTTCAGAATACCTGCCCCCCTTACCATTTGTATGGATGCTCCTTTTAATGAGCTTCCTCGCGAAGAGAACTGGCTGAAAGCTCTAGTAGTAATTTATGTCTGCCGTGTTATCACAGTAATCACCAGACTTTTGTTTTGCCTTTTTAAAATTCATCTTGCAGTGGCGATGAGATGCAGCAAAACCAAGTCTAATCACCAAGAGGCACTGCAAATTCTCTCTTCGGCTCGACTCAACTTACGTAGCTTGGCAGCCAGAGCAAAGGTGAGACTGAGAGGCGGGGTCAGCAAAGGGCTCCCTGTCTCATGGCTTATGTTCTCAAGTACTGCTACAGGCACCTTACTTTTAACTCTTCCATTCTAACCAGAAAAATACTGTAATGGAAAGGAGGAGATATTCTTCGTATGTTTAATCTGTGAAAACTTTACTGGACTAATTTCCTAGAAATATCCGACAGTTGTCTCTGTGCAAGGAACAGGGCACAGACTACTTTTGTAGAAAGTGTGTATGTGTTTGTTTGTTTGTTTGGTTGGTTGGTTGGTTGGTGTGTGTGTGTGTGTGTGTGAGAGAGAGAGAGAGAGAGAGAGAGAGATGGGGAAACTGGCATTGCTCCCTCAGGACATCTCTAAGCATGACTTTCCCTGATTTGAAATGCTGGAATCGGTATACAGAAGGAAGGTAGCTCAACAATGTTCTTCCGACAAAGCCAGGAGAGCAGATGACACCCATTTGTCTGGCTGTACAGATTCTCACACAATTGTCCATAATCCCCAGAGAGCTCTGTAGCTTCAGCGAGGCTTGTTTTGGACTTCAGCTCAATGAATGCCAAATAAGAGAGAGAAAGCTGAGCCAGACACCATCCTTCCTCCCCAGCTTCTTCACATTGGGTAGCCAGAAACAACTTTTTTTTAAAAAAAAAAAAAGCATGATGGACAGCTGTCACAAAGGATCCTTTATGAAAGCTTCCATCTCTCAGGAAAAAGTCTTCTGGCTCTGCTGCACCTGCCAAAAATTGGGCTGTGAGCTGGCAATTGCATGGAGTAACACTGTCTCCCCAAAGAGGACAGGAGGGCAACTTTATTACATTTCTTTATTGTGTTTTGCCATGAATGAATGAAAATTGCCCATTCCATAGAACCCACCCATTGTGACGTTTAATACTGCAATGTGTACATATCAGCCAACAGGTGCAAGTGACCTGAAGTGTCATGGTGTAGCACTAAGGAAATTGAATCACTAAGACTTGGAGCAGCGTCTAGTTTTTCCTGCAAAAACTACCCCTCCTCACCCAGTCAATCAAAAGAGAAGGTGGTGATTGAGAGGGTCTGATCTTCAGAACCTGCTCCAAAACTAGAATGGGTTTTTAGTTTATGAGGAAATGATTCACTTCAACGCATGTTCAGTAGTATCCCAGGCCCCAAATGAGACTGCAGCCTAAATAGGGTTAGGTCACTCCTGCTGCTTTTACAAGTAATCAAAGGTGGGGGAAAGCCTAATGTTCACTGTTTGGCCAGTTGGGTTTATAGGTGCAGATGGGTACCAGTGACACACAAGTAGGTCTAAGCATTGACTTTGTGGAATTCCTGCAAAATTGGATTGTATCCTTGCACAAATCAGTAATTCTAGGTCTTGTGCAAAAAGGATGAAGTGGACAGGGCTGTCATTAATTTGTCCACAGGGTGACACTGGTGTGTTTTAACAATGTTGCAGTACTTTTTTTTTTTTTATCTGCATTTAGGATGATTTTATTGTCTTTGGTTAAGAAGAAACTTTCTGTTACAAATCTTTTTTTTTTTTCTTCTGCAGCAACTTTTTGCAGACACAGTGAGTGGAGAAGTTTCCAGTGACCTAGCTGAAGAAGTGGCAGCTATGGAGAACTTGATAGTGGAATTGCAGGAACTTAGCAACCAGCTAAGAAATCAGACCTGAGAAAAAGAAGATCCAGTTTCCTGGAAGGAAGGAAGGGCAAAGTTGGCAAACTTCATTGGCTACAGTTTGCGCTAATGAGCTTGCAGTAAATCAGACACCCCAAGCCACTCTCTAATAAATATTTTTCCATATAACGTAGCTTCTAATTGCAGCCAGCATTGCTAGGACTGTAAAGTGTTTTTAAGGTCAGGCCTGTTCATTGTCATTTTCGGTGTTTGTGTGATTTCTGTTGGCCTGGGTTTATAGAACAAAACTAACTGGTTTTTATTTAGAAGGCCCTTTTATTTAGGATTAGTTCTGCTCGAGTGCACCACGTAATTGGCTTCTGTCCACTGATGTGCACATTGCAGATAGGAGAGATTAAGTCCTGTTGATGTTAGAAGGGAAAAGGGATGGGGGCACTTTGCTCTTGTTTCTAATTGAGATTGAGGGAAGGTCAGAAAGATTGAGAAAACCAAGCAAAAAACGAAATGGCTCTCTTCTGTGGAATTTAAAACAAATGTAATTGTGAAGGATGTGTCAGTTGTGTTATCCTTTGGTTTTGTGGTTTTCAAAGCTTAAGCATTTGCAGAAAATGGGCAGCACTTCCCAATAAAGCTACACAACAAAGGCAGCACAAACAATAGCTTGCATCCTAATCCCCACCATTTCCTTTTCTTTCTGTGAAATGGTGTGTTGTTTTTCTGGTTTTCTATCAGCCTTTGAGGTTCAAATGTAATCCATAGTCCCACTTTCCTAAGTTTGACCAATAGCAGCTACTGGACTTGATCTGGAAATGGGTTCCAGCTTTCCTTTCTCATTAACCTAAATATGGGTGCCTACAAGAGCCACCTTTTCTAAACCCAACCAAGGCTATTTATCCTGTCTCTAGCATTGACAAGTCAGGTGCCCCTGCCAAGCCTTTTAACTATCCCTCTTGTTTATCACCAGGATGATAGTATAACATATATTGCCTTTTAAAGTGGAGGTGTCAGTCTTAGAGTCATGATTTAATTGCCATTAGCCTATACTCTATGAATTTATCAAATCCTTTGTGAAAGTTTCTAGAGTCAGTTTGTTTGAAGGATCTGGTTCTCACAATCATATCCTTACTTCATAAACTAGGATATGCATGAGGATGTGTGTGTGTGTGTGTGTGTGTGTGTTGATGCACATAGCTCCCAATGGTGTCTTGAGAGAATACAACATTCAGAGAGCAAAACACAAAAATATTCTGTTCTTTCTTTTCCTCTCCTCCCCCATCAAATCAAGTCAGCTGACTCTTACATTTTACTTTTTGTCATAAACATTTTTACAGGACACTTTCCCTTCTCCACATCCTCCCCCACCATTGTTCCCTCTGCTTGCTGCTCAAATGCCAAAGTCATCCTGGAAAAGTTAGTAGAATTGGGAGAGAAAAGAGGGAAAGAGACACTTCCCACTTCCTTCCTCACCCCTATGTACGTTTCAAGGCTGAGATAGCTCGCTTCCCACTTTCGAAAAGGGCGCAGTTGTAGAATACAGAGCCTTTGAAGACGCTGCCACATTGGGGACGGAGTAGCCTTTGAGTGAACACATAGTTGCCTAACTCAAGAACTACCCACTTGGCCTGGCATAGTCTCTGCAAGGCCTCAATCATTTCACTGAAACACCATGGATTGAGCCTGGGACCATTTGCATGCAAAGCACAACCTCCACCACTAAGTTTTCGTCTTTCCGCTTTTGCTTTTCACGTTCACACTTAATGTTTTTAGGTGGAAATGCAGTACATTTTGTCTACATCCCAAAAAAACCCCAAGTGTGTGAGGACGCCTGGATTGTGAGCCACGTTTGGAATTTGGAAAGCCTTTTTTCCCTTTCCTGTTGCACTATTTCCACGTCCCAGAGGAGCCATGAGAGGGCATCCTGTTGTTTCCTTTTCTGCTTACAGATGAAGTGGGAGGGGATATTCACACTGCAGAAGTCGGCTGTAGAGCGTCCAGCTGCAGTATAGCAGCAGATGACCTTTCTCGTGCAACAGTTCTATAATAAGGCCTGGGCTGCAAGCATCCTTGGAATGGTGCTTTCTCTAGGAATGATAATTAACGTTCACGGATGGTGAAGTCACTCCAAGGAGAGTTCAGTGAGTCCTCTTGTCATCAGTTTGTGCATCCCTCCCACTCCCGTCATAACTTGGTGTAAAAAGTTGCAGGATCCAGAAAAAAGAAAAAATCAACAATGTTGTTAAAAACTTTCTAGGCTGAGTCTTTTTGTACTTAAAGGGCTGTGCTGAGAAGGCTGAAAAGGGGGACCAACTCCAGTAGTATACCTCACTTCAGCGACTAATGTATGGTTTCTGATCCACTTCTTCCCCTTTCTGTTCCCAGTTTCATAAAGAACTCAACCTCATAAGTTCAACAGCTCCTATAAAGGGTCCCAAGTGGAAATCATGTAGATGCAGGGACTGGGGATGGTGGAAGGACATAGACCTAGGGTCAGTGCACACAACCTTCCCAAGGGGATAAGACATGTATATGAACATAGAAATTTGCCTTGTAGTGAATCTCACCATGGTCTGTCTAGTTCAGTATTGCCTACACTGACTGACAATAGCGCTTCAGTGTTGCAATCTGGTTTATATCCTATGCCCTTTTAAAATGTGTTGGGGGGGCTATTTTGTAGTTATTGTTGTTTTTATTATGTATTTTGTGGTTTTATATCTTGTTTCTATTCTGTGAACCACCCTGAGACCCCCAGGTATAGAGCAGTATATAAATTCAATAAATCATCATCAATGCTACATGGGGATTCCCAGGACTGAACCTGGCATTTACTTCCTGGAAACATCTGCTATACCACTGAACAACACTTTCTGCCAGTTTCTTGCATCTTTCTATCTGTAAAACCAAGCAGCATTAACATTTAGTTCTAAGATTTTTATTATTCAGATTTCTTTATACTCACCATCCAGAAAATGGTGTATTGTTTGAAGAGGAGAAGTAAAAATGTGATAATTGTAAATTCTAGGCATTTGGATCATTTCCCTACAAAAGAATTGATATTATCAAGATTTAATAGTTTCATCGGGGTATCTTCCAAACATTTTAAATAAAACCACCTTTTTCAAAGTTTTGGTTTCCAATATATGTGGTTCTGTGATACTGGGAAATTAACAAATCTCTGCTTTGCTGAGTAATTATAAATATCAGTGATATTTCTGTCTTCAATTGCCAGGATCCGAATAGTGTTAAAGGAACAAATGAGAGAACAAAAAATAGGGATTAGTGGCACACACTTTGGATTCTTAGTACTTAAATAAACTGGAGTGTGTCTAGGAAAAAATTAAACTGGGGACAGGCCTAACTAATCTGGAATTCTTGTCAGTAAGATTACTCAGATTGCCTGATGCCTGTTCCAAAGATCATTTTTAAATGCCTATGGTGACTGGAAAATATTATTTTAAAATACTGTGCTTGTGTGTTTGTAACAAAGGAAGGGCTAGTACAAAGAGGATACACTTAAACTTTTAAAGCAGTAAATCTGTTTATCCATTAGGTATAGCGTTTGGATGCTATCATCCTGTTACAAGAGCATAGCACAACATTTAATTTATTAGGAATACTTATGTCTTTCTGACCCACTTTTCTAGTAAGGTTATCTGCATGGTTTGTAATGCGAGTGATTGTATCTTGGTAAAATGTTCATAAGGTCCTTGAAACATACTTTGGGTTTTGGCCCATCTTTTGAGAACCTGTGTCATGGCATTTATACCTTTTGTTGAATGATTCGCCAGTAACACCTATCACAAAACCTGCAGTTAATGTGCCAAGGTATACGTTAAATATCAGCTACTGCAAAAGCTTTGTTATCAGTCCTAAATCCTTAGGGACCATTTCCCCACCCTTCTTGGCTTAGAAGGCTACTTTTGCCATAACTACTAAGACTTTTGATGCTTTATTTTCTGATAAGGCAGGAGTGAGGGGAACACATGGCCCTCTAGGTGTTGCTAGGTCATAACTCTGGCCATTCATTCCATGCCTCTGTTTTAAGGCAATTAAATGTATTGGGCATACAGATAATTTAATGTGTGATAGGACTCAAGTGATACATATGGATGAATTCATACAACACTATCCATGTACAGTCCTTGCCCAAAGTTCTCACAATCTGAAGTTTGAAAGTGAGCAAGAAAGGTTCAGGATGGGGAGTCAGCAAGGGAACAGGAATGTATGAGAGCAAATGCAGTTGCATGTACTTTTTGTGGCTGGACATTAAGACAGAGCAGGGGATTGTGAGGGCTTCATGGAACAGTAGGTTTTGAGGAGAGCTGTGAAGGAAAACAGGTGACAGTGGCACTACACAGGTGTTCTCAAACCTGGAATTCCATCCTGGGAGTGGTAAAGAATAATACAGGCCAAGCCACCTTAAGAAAGCAGGAGGAAATGAGTGTGCTTGCTATTTACCAAGTGGTAGGTAACATTCCACAGTGCACATCCAAATACTTGGTAAGCCCAGTGGCTGTAACATCCTGCCAATTGATGAAAACTGCCACTCCTCTATTTCACAAATTCTGCAAATGTGGATATGTGGTAAATTTTCTCTGTGATTACCTATAATTTGGCACACAGATAGTTCAACAATGTGTAAAACCTAAAAGGACATCTGTCACAAATGGAAAAACAATGAACTCATAACGGTCCAAGCAACAGTGCTGTCCGACACAGGAAGGTTTTTCTTAAATGTTTAGAAGTGCTTATAAATAGATAGGTTTCAATCAACAAGAAGCTCATTCAGGCATGCACTCAAATATAGTAGCAGCATTCATTAGACAAACATTTCTGCTAATCCCTCGGCTATGCTAATAAAAGAGTGATCCTTCTAGACTGCGGATAGTTCAACTCCTATTATTTAAGCCTAATAACAATTGTATTAAGTTTGAGCAAGGGGTTCCGTTCAGCTTAAACTAACTTGAGATCTCATTAAAATGGTTGTGGAATAGACATTTCTCTAGTTGAGAATAATTAAAATGCATGTGAGATTAATGTGGATTTTTTAAAAGCAGTAGAACTTTTTCTCCCCAATACCTAGTTATTCAGAATATGCTATTTGACCCCAAAAAATGTTGTAGTAAATAAATTGTATTTGTAGCAACATAATTACCATTGCCACTGGCTCCAGGCAGGACTTGGTGTCATACTTAGCACAAAGCCCCTGGTGAGTGCAGCATAACCACATAATACCAATCCTGAAAGAACTTCATTTCTGGGCTGAAATTAAGGTGCAGGTGTTGATCTACAAAACCCTAAGCAACTTGAGAATTAGGTAGCTAATGAAACACCCAAGCCTGTTATCAGCCTGTCTGTGTCCTTAGTTCATAGGAGAGAACCCCATCTCATTCTACTGTCAGGGGAAATATATTAAGTGGTGACACAAGAGGGCCTTCTTCATGGTGATAACCCAACTCTTCAATGCCATCATCCCAAAGTCAACTTTATTTACATTCCAGCACCAGGCTAAGCCCCACCTACTTACCCAAACATTTTGAATGGTTATTCAGTCATGACTGGATTTACTGCAGAATATCTGTTCATGCTGCTCATTGTTTTGGGATCCCCCTCTGTTATGGTTTATTATTTTAATATTACTATTAGAAATTTAACTAAGTAGCCAAATGTCAAATCTCCCCACAAACAGGTAGGGGTCACTCACATTACGTGTTTCCTCCACCCTTGCCAGCAGCAGCCAATTATCTGGGGATGGCAGGTTATGAGGGTGGGGGCATTGAAGCTGCAGATGGGCATCTGAATATAAATGATCTTGCACATTTCAAAGGCGAGTGGGGAAAACTTGCCACAAGATGCTGGCTTCCATGGCAGTCCCCTGTTGAGTATAATATGTGGATCTGCTCCAGTACAATTAATGTGGCTTAGAGCTGCCTTTGAAGTTGATAACCTTCAGATGTTTGGGACTACAGCTCCCATCAGCCCCAGCCAGCATGGACAACAGGCAGACAGGATGGAAGTTGTAGTCCAAAGCATCTGGAAGACACCAGGTTAGGAAAGCCTAGACCACTGGAGACTCGCACAGAGATAAATGAATCCTGTGGAGTACTTGCATTATTACACGTATACACATAAGATTGCTCTCTGGCCTAGTTCTAAATATGGATATTATCTCTGACTTGCATCCATGTTTGTTTGTTTTTAAAGAAACTTTATTAAGAAATTGAATAATTTCTCATGAAAACTGCTTTGTATAAATGTCTCTTTAAGCTTGCTCTCGTATTTAAAAAAGACCCTTTGTGGTTTTTTAGTTTGTTACCTGTATGCAATTTTCCTTGCCTGCATCATCGCAAAAGATTTTCCTCGTGGCTGCTATCAGCCTCCCCTTCCCCCCCTTCTTCCTGCCTTACTGTAAACTCTAGTGACCTGCAAGTCTTAGTCATCTACACCAGGCATATCCAACTCCCAAAAGACTGTGATCTACTCCCAGTATAAAAACACTGGGAGTGATCTACCAATTGTCATTGGGGGAGGAGGAGCTTTTTTTAGGAGAGAAGTGCCCAGAGTTGTTGAGCTTTTTGAGGGAGGACTGAACAGAATTTTTTAACTTTCCCCCCATAACTTTTTGTACATGATAAGGATCCTGTGATCTACTACTACTGGTTGGACATCCCTGATCTACACCATCCCTTGGCCCAAAACAAATGCAATGATCTCTGCAAAAGAATAGCAGCCAAGTTTTCTGACAGCCAGTACAGTATTAATGGTGCTAAAGTGCTTGCTTATATAAAAGGGAGTTGAATATTTAGAGGCATCACAACTAAAACAAACAATTTAATATCATTAGCAGGGGAAATCAGGGAATTAACCCTAGGATGGCTGGCATTTTCCAGATCTGCTCAAATACTATGTTTTTTCAGCCTTAATGACAGGGATGCACCCAAATGTGTTTCCTTTTGCTGCTTCACTGTTTTTGGAGGGCTGCCTGCTTTTGACACTCCCTTACTTTCTACTCAGGTCAGTCTGACTTACCTCTCCACACATATTTTTCACTTTATTTTCCAAAGTTGGCAGCTTTGTCTGCGATGGAAGGCAGCAGCTGGAGGAGCGGGAGGGGTGGTTCTTCTTCCTCTTTTACTTGGCTTGGATTTTGCTTTTATTGCCCATCCCACAAATGAATCCACTTCAGTGGTCAGAAATCTCTGTAGGACAAAAAAATGTAATTATTAAAGCTGGCCAAAACAAAATTCATAGAAAGGAAAAAGAACAAAATCAGCAAAACCTGTGGTAAACAAAAGCTGCCGTCTGTAAACTCTTTGCAATCACTGGCTGAGCTACTGCCATGTTGCAGAAGCCTGGGAAGGAAATGTGAACGGTATTCTCATGTTTTGCACCTGGACACACCGTGTGAGAATATATGTGATCCAAGTAAATGCAAATATAGGAATACTAGGCACAGTTTTGTTAGAACTTCTTACTATATTAATTAGAGGATTGGGGCTTTTGAATGACAAGGCAGTGAAAATGACAGCGTGGATGACTTGGACAATAAGGCTTTTTATGTTCCAATTACTGTAACATGAAAAAACCTGCAGAGATGCTACATTACAGCAATTTTGAAACATCAGAAAATACAACGCAAACTAGTGTATAGTATGAATCCAGAAGTCCTGTGTTCATATCTTGCCTCTCAGGCACCTATAGGCAACATGTGTTTTTCCCTTTCACAGGCAATAAGATGATAATACTGGTCTACAATACAGGATAGAGTAAGTACCTATTAAAGCACTTAATGAACTCCTTTGCTAGTTTTGTGCAACAATACTACCTGCTCCTTTGGCTTGTGGATATTCAGATCAATGCGCATTTACAGTTTTTACCAGGAACACTTCTGTGAAACCGATATATAAACCAATAAAAATGGCCCAGCTATGAAGCTTTACGAACTTCAGGAGCACAGCTAAGACTTTCTTGTACCAGCAAGCATTTTAAGGTATTTGGAGAGATTTAATTAAGTTGTTGCATGCATGGAACAAGGTCCACTCACACAACAGGACCTCCCCTGTCTCTTCCCCCCTGCCCCCTAAAATCTGCTCTGGAGGGTTGGGGGGAACCCAGAAAAA